CCCATGTGTAACGTGTATACGAGCGAGTTTCCCTTAGAGAGTCCTCCACGAAGGCATTCCTCCCCTTAGGCAGATAGCCCTCGAGGCTTACCATAATCACACACACACACTTATAAAAGGAGGAAAACCTCTCAGTTCGTAGAAGTTACTTAGTTTGTTGTTTAGAAAACTGCTCTTGTTGACTGTAGCAAATTCGCGGATTAGCTTTCTTTAGCTGTTTTGAATTAAGTTCTATTGAACGTTTGAGTAGTTAGAAGATAACTACTGTGATATATTGTGATACTGCATGATTATTTGAGGACATTTAATAATATTTGTTGTGATAATAATAAATGTTCTTAATTTTTTTATCGGTCTTGTGCATTCATTTCGTAAGAAACCCGTGCGCACCCAACAATATTATTCATTGTATTGGATAATTGTGTTGAGAAAAATATTTCCTTCCTGCATCATAAGTAACAATAAAAATTCATAATAGAAAGTGTACATTTTCTATACCAATGTTTATAAAGTCAAGATAAAAATATCTGATTGGAATATTCTGTTTGATTTTATCTATCCCACGTTCAGCTCAAAACCTCTTTAGTCGACAGGTGTGCGATACAGAAAAAGGTTAGATAAAATTTTAGTATCAACGCGGAAATAGGTACGAAGTTTAATTCTTCAGTTACACGAAGTAGGATTACTTTTGAGTTCTTTCATAAAACGAATACAGTAAGTAATTATTTCGATTTTTTTTGCACATGCCAATAAACATGAAATATAGGGAAATTTGAAACAATATAAATTATATAAATTCCAACAATAATATGTAGCTTTTTTATTTAATTATAAAAATATTCTAACTTTAAACGCTTTAATCTCTAAACAGTTCTAACTATAAGTGAATTTTTCAGCTTAAGTTCACATTACAACTGAGTGTTTTAGAATAATACATAATTATGTAAGCTTTATAATTATCTGTAGCTAATCTTTGGAATATGGTAACAGGTAGTTTGGCGACGTTTTGGTAAGGCGATAAAGGTTACTAGCTAGGACTTTAGCAATAATCTGAGAAGTACACAGTTCGAATCACAGATTATTTTGTCTCAGAGAAATGAGAGATCATGAGACATGTCATTGACATTTTCCGGAAAATTCCGATCGCGATTTTAGCTAATAAGCACTTAGAAAAATTTCGCTGCTAAAGTGCTGAATTGCCCACTTGTTTGTTTGGCGCTTTTTACAAGAGTAAGAAGAATTGGATTTTTGTCAATTTTCTTTGAATTTCTAGGTGAAAATAGGTCGATGTGTACATAGATAAAGTCACGAGTGTGCGCAATGCCATTTTTTGTGCAATTCTGAGACGTTTTTTTTTAAGTGAAAATAGGTCGACGTGCACATGGATATCGTGTATGTGCAATTCTTAAAAACGCGGCAAGCAATGGGCGATTCTGCACTTTCTGCCAATTTCGCACCTAATTTTCGTCATGATTAAGCATTTTTGTTCCATAAAAGTTCTAGTAAAAGCGTAATTCGGCTAGCAGATTGTTGAAAAAAATGTTAAGTATAAAAAAAAAAAAAAAAAAAAAAAAAAAAAAAAAAAAAAAAAAGTGCTTCGTGAAAACAAAATGGCGTCCAGAAAAAAACTTGCAGGTTGCTGTAGCAGGGTTGGTCGCCAAATTTTCGCCGAAAATCGCCAAGTTATCATAATTCGAAGATTGACCTTATCTGTTTGTAATTAACTATGTATGTAAATTGCTATACTACCTAACGAAAGCTTGCGCTTTAAGATTTATTAGCATGGAATTATTTCTTCTGTAACTATTCCGATTTTACACTAACAGAAAGATTATATAAGTAAATTTTTTAAATGATGTATAAAATTACAGAATTTGAATAAATTTTTTAAATGGGGATTCATAGATATGCCAACTCAAGTTCTTTTTTCAAAGGCTAAATAATAAAATAAATTTATCGTTACTCAGTGAAATTATTAACATTTTTCGTGATTTATTTTCTTTATTGTAATCAGTAATATTATTAGACCGTCTATTGAAACATTTTTATAAAGGGAATTGTTTTGCTGAAGGAAAATGTGTTGTCCTTGCTGTGACTTAAGGTTATATGAAATTCCAGGTTTATAAATGACTTACAATTTCAGGAAGTACCACATGCCCTGCTCCACACAAAAAATGTTCTGTATTTACCGTTTTACGAAATTTAATTTGCGTTGCGAAATTTAACTCGCGATTGACGAAATTTAACTTGCGTTTCTCATGTCTCAAAAGCATGACTCACGATATATATTAGATTTGTATATAGCATTCTAATCTTAAAACTCAATTAGAAGGTATTGAAACTTCATCGGTTTTGCCTCTAGTAATCGTATTTAATAAATTACATACCTTTGCTATGCAACTTTGACATACATGTTTACATTCGGATAAGATTTAAAAATGATTTATAGCATTCACAAATCAGTATTTACTTTTGCATATCAGTTGCGGATTCTAAATTTTAGGTAAAAAAACTAGTGTTGGATATTCAAGCTTTACACGGTTTGGTTTATTAGATTACGGCAAAGCACTCGAGGCTATTTGCCTTAAGGGAGGGATGCCTTCGTGGAGGACTTTTTAAGGGAAACTGGCTCGTATACACGTTACACATGGGGAAAACCACGAATACGCCCATGCAGCCAGCCCGTTCGCGGGATTCGAACCTCGGATCGAACTACCAGTGTTCAGCGATTTTACCGCTCGGCCGCTGGTGGGCCCAAGCTTTGTAGGATAAATTATACTTTAAATTCTATTAGCACTGCAAAAGGTTGAAATGGAAAATGCTGCTTAATTAAAGATATAACAGTTTCAGTAATTTTAATTACGATACTATGTGAGATGAATTTTAATTGTAGTAAAATAATTTTTAAAATTTAATATAAAACGGATAAGAAATGCCCGTAAAACCTTAATTTTACTGCGATCTTTTTCAAAAATCTGAAAACCATCTCTTACGTAATATCTGCTGAATTCTTGGCTTTGGAATTTAATAGTTAGTAAGAAATAAAGGAATTTTAAAGTCATATTAATACTTTTCATTTAAAGGTGGCATCACTTTCTTTTAAAAATTAGAATCACGTATAATGCTTTACGCGTTACGTTAAACTGAAAGTAAATTTCTTACAGCAAATAAAATAACATTTTAACGTAAATGTTCTTTAGTATATATTTAGAAATACAAGAATGCGATTTTATATCTTATTGAAATTAATAATTATGAATTCATTATATGTTAAAGAATGATGCAATTATTCTTATACATTCTAAACTAAAAACTATTCGTTCTAATAAATGAAGTGAGTACATTTTTTTAGTTTTGTGTTGATGAATTTTGTTACCATTTATACTTTGGCTTTCATATTTACTTCCTTGTACCAAGAACTGTAATTGCGAAAAATTTCGGCTATCATATTTTAATCGCTGTGGAATCTACCTGAACGAGCTTCTTTTAGTTTCATTTATACACATGGATAGAATAAAGGACTCTTTTTCTCCAAACGGATTGTAAAATGGATTCCGAAGAGATTTTTTCATGACGTCTATACGTACAAATGGTTATATCTCACATAAATAGCCGCAGAACGTTGAAATCTTGTATATGGGACTGCTATAACATGCAGTTGGGAACTTCTCTCATATATATAAAAATAGATAGAATGCTATGTGGGAATATATATATATATATAAATAGATAGACTGATAGATATGTGCGAATATATACACATGCGCACTGGGATGAGAAGTTAACTTAGAATTTTATGCATCTAAAATTTGGTCTTCCTGGCCATCTGCGGAATTGTTTGCTTTTGTGTACAAACCTTAATTTTAATTGTTAAAATTATTTTTTAACTGTATTTAGTGTTTTAGGTATTTCTATATTTTCCAATTTTTTTAAATGAAGATGTTTTGAGTTTTTATGTACTTTTGCCTTGCCGCGATATTACAACTGAATTGATTGAATGAGAAATATATATCTAACGAAATTTGAGGAATTAAGTTTCAATGAAATGCAGCAAAATATGTGTACAATTTGATACGATGTACAAGGAAGTCCCGTGGTGTTCACATCAGATATTTTCATAAGGTTAAAACAATCACGTATAAAGTCATTTATACGTCTTATCAAATGCATAGTCATTATTCAAAAAAAATGAACCATAAATATTCAGTGCTAATTCTATGATAATTTTAAGTTAGTGACAGAGGAAAAAGTATGTCCAACAAGTTTTAATGTAAATTTAATGATTAACAATCCTGTAAATGCTTATCATAAACATATCTCCTACTTCTATTTCTTTTAATTGTCACGATGTGAGCATGCTGTTCTATATCTTAAAATACAATTAATTAAAATTTTGAGAACCGCTCTGAAAAATAACTTATTCTAATAAATTAATAAACAAAATAAAAAAGGGTGGAAAGGAAATGTCGGTAATGTTTAAAAAATTAATTGTTTTCCATTTTTGTATCTAGTCCGGATTGTTAAAACAATACACATATTTCCAAATAAACTAAGAAATGAATTGGATTTTTCATTTAAATGTCCGTCAACAAGATTTTTACTATCATGTTTATTAGACAAAAGAATAAAATAGGCAGTTTCACCACAGTTTAAGAGTACTGATGAATTTAATTGTAGAAAATTTATAATTTCTATTCTTAATTTGCATAAAATAAAAAATTTATTTAAATTCTCCATCTCTTTTTTAACACTCGTCTAAGCACTAAATCTGGTGCAATCATGTTCTTATCAGGTGCATGCTACCTGTGCATTACAGAACTGTATGATAAGATGATATTAGTCAATCGAACGTAGCCAATAAAAATTAAATATGTATCGAAACTCAAACTATTTTTTCCAATCAGAAGAACTCTTTATCGCAACAGAAAGAATTAAAAAGCTATAAATATCGTGAAAGAACTTTTGATTTCATACCGCACTCCTAACTTTTTATGTTTGAGATTTTACTCTAAATAAAGACAATTTTTGAAGAGTTTCTACTCTAAATAAAATACTTTTGAGCTCAAAGATTTGTGAAATCTTAGTAAATTTGAAGATTGTGTTTTCCTCTGCACTCCAGTGAAAGACTGGTAAGCATGATATCAACTCCTTATTTAAATAATCAAATGCCTTAATCATGATAATTTAAATTATTTAAAAGTTGTGATTTTTACAAAGCTTCCGTTCTAAGCAATAATGAATAAATCACTTGATTAGTAAGACTTAAAATAATATTTTAAGTTTGAATAGTAAAATGCATCACTACGCAAAAGGATTTCGGAAAAAATGAAGCTTTCTTAGAATAAATATTTTTTTGTAATTTGTTTTATAATTTATAATTACTTAATTTTATGCGTTAATGTATGCCATATTACTCTTTATTTGAGCATAATTTTAAAATTAGAACTTAGATCTGAGGTAAATCTATATATTAAGAGCATATTAGTATATGTGACTTTGTATAATGTATACATCTGTAATTAACTAAATATGAATTTGTTGCATTGAACGAAAATTCGATACGTAATAAATTCCTTTTTTTTTCAGAGAAATATGGGTAAAAAAAATCCAAATTCAAGGGTAAGTCATTTCAGTGGAAAGTCTCTTATTTTGTTTTATGTCTGTTATGCAATAACACTAAGCAGCAATCTACAGCTGTGAATAATAATAATTATTGCATGGGATTTAAGTTTCCCCCCTATCTAATACGGTTGTTCTTACAGTTTCCTACACAATTATTTATTTACATTAACATTCAGAAGCTTTATTCTGTCTATTTTGGTTAATAGTCTTTTACAAATTATTATTCTGACAAAAATATGTTTAATTTATTAATATGGTGAAGCTATAAATTCTGTAATTCCAATTAATAAAGTGAAGGAAAAATTTTAATGATGATACCATTTAGATGAATGGTGTTTGTAGTAATATATATATTTTTTAATTTAATAAAAACATGTATTTGAAGATGTTTGTAAAATGTTAATTTTACTGCGATATTTTTCAAAACTCTAAAATCTTTCTCTCATGTAATATACTGCTAAAGTTTTGGCTTTAGAACTTAGTAATTAGTAATAAATAAAGGAATTGTTCAGTTATATGTTAATACTCATCAGCTAAAGATACTTCCTCCTTTTTAAGAATTAGAATCACATGTTAAATTACTTTACATCTTACATTAAAATGAAGCAAAATTCTTTCAAATTACCATATTTGCCGGTGTATAAGACGCACCCACGTGTTTACACACATTTTGAAGGATAAAACTTTATAATGAATTTAAATTATTTAAAAGTTGTGATTTTTACAAAGCTTCCGTTCTAAGCAATAATGAATAAATCACTTGATTAGTAAGACTTAAAATAATTTTTAAGTTTGAATAGTAAAATGCATCACTACGCAAAAGGATTTCGGAAAAAATAAATAAATAATTAATAATTAATAAATTATTAATATTTAAATCTTTCTTAGAATAAATATTTTTAAAATAGCTTTCTTAGAATAATATTTAAAAAATATTTTATTCTAAGAAAGCTTCATTTTTTCCGAAATTATTAAAATAGTTAAATCTTTCTTAGATTTAAAATCTTTCTTAATTAAATTTTTTAAAATATTTAATTCATTAATCTTAAAATTTATTTAAATAAAGTAATACAAATACAACGTAATACTTTCTTCAAATACCCAATCTGTCTGGGAACGAACACCTTTCAAATTTTTCAATCTTCTTCGTCAAAACGCAGACACACATCTTCAGAGCTAAATGAAGAGTCATTTGAAACCTCTTCTAAATCGGCATCTGAATCCTCGTACAACAAATTGTCCTCTGTACGATCCAGTGCAATACTAATGCCAAACTTCTTAAATTATTTAACCACTGTCTCTGTTTCCACAGCGTCCCATGAAGCTTTAACCCATTCAGAACGAGGTATCAGCGTATAAGACGCAAACCATTTTTCAGAAATACGGTAATTAAATATGATTTGTTGCATTGAATGAAAATTTTATACATAATAAAGCCCTTTTTTTTTCAGAAAAATGTAGCTGGAAAAATTCTAAATTCCAAGGTTAAGTCACTTTAGTGAAAATCTCTTAGATTTTTTTATATATGTTATGCAATAACACTTAATTTGACACAGTATTTTCAATATCTCGTTTAATCGTAAAGTAACCATACTGCTTCTGAGCCAGTTTGCGGTTACGTTCCATTCTGCCGGTTAAAAGTACATAAATATTTCATCGTATAATATTGTTACGAAATGCACAAGCGCGGTAAGATGGCTTCCCTGCAAAGCAGTTTTAGGGTTGCCATAAAATGGCAAGGGAAAGCAGGGTTGCCACATTTGGCGACAAAATTGGCGATATACCATGGACGAATGGAGAACCTTCTGGAACGAATTCTTACCGGTTAGCCCATAATGTTCTCGAACACGAGCCGAAAGCTATATAAACCCTGCTGGTCCGCAGTTAGTGTGTGTGCCTCATCTAGCGAGCTGATAGTCAATCACTGAGCGTGTGTCTCGAAGTCTAGCGCCGAGTTGGTCGTCGAGTGCATCGAGAGAGTCTTTTAGTGTATCGCGAATTAGTGCATCGTCGAGTTTTGTCTTAGACTGTGCTGGGTCGAGAGCTATACTCTTGTGTATCGTCGAGTGCATCGCGAGTTGTAGCGTGGAGAGTCTCGAGAGTACGTGGAGCTACGAGAACGACGAAGCAGAGTCGAAAGCTGTACTCTGGTGCTTTGCAGTGAAGCTGTCTCCACAGTGATAGCCTGATAACCTGAAGGCCGTGTCGCTGATCGTGTCAGCGTGTTTATAGTAGTTCATCGACTACTGTAAAACGTGTTTTGGAGCTGTCCTGACAATACTGGCTAATAAAGGGTTACAGCCGAAAACATCGCGGCAAAAACATTGCAGACGAAAATGTCGCGGAGAAAACAACGCAAGGCGAAAACGTCGTGCTACAAAACATCGTGGGAGAAAACATCGCAAAGAGAAAACATCGCAGTTCTAAAACATCGTGGTACAAAACATCGTCGTCGAAAATAAAGCGGTTCAAAAACATCGCAGTTTAAAAACATCGTCGTGGAAAATATCGTGGTAAAAAATAAGTATCTACAAATCATCGCATGACGATAACATCGCAGACATGCTTTTTTCAGGCATGCTTTAATAAGTGTAAATGGATATTCCCATAATGGATTTGTGAGCGCAAGATGGAAAGAAGGATAATTTTTACTTTCATATTTTTTATTAATTAATAAATTTTTGCTGAGAAAATAAAAAAAGGAAACTTAAACATAAAAAAAATTAATGCAACTTAGCACTTAATAGAATTTTTAACAGACATAGTTAACTAACAAAGGCCATTATAAATCATTTTTATAAAGTTTTTTTTAGTGGTAAATATTTCATGAAAAAGTATAATCTATAAGTTACATTTAATTTTCTATGCTTAAGTTTCCTTCTTACGTTTTCAGCAAAAATTTATAGTTTAATAAAAATATGTGAAAGTAAAAATTTATCCTTCTTTACACCTTGCGCTCACAAATCATTATGGGAATATCCATTTACAATTATTAAAACCTGAAAAAAGCATGTCTGCGATGTTATCGTCATGCGATGATTTGTAGATACTTTATTTTTTACCACGATATTTTCGACGACGATGTTTTTAAACTGCGATGTTTTTGAACCGCTTTATTTTCTACGACGATGTTTTGTACCACGATGTTTTAGAATTGCGATGTTTTCTCCCACGATGTTTTGTAGCACGACGTTTTGCCCTTGCGTTGTTTTCTCCGCGACGTTTTCGTCCCCGATGTTTTTGCCGCGATGTTATCGGCGGATACCCTAATAAAGTGTATTTCGATACTTCATCAAGTATCGTCGTTATTCACTCCAAACCTACGAACCCCGTACGAACGCGAAGGAAGAAAATAACAAAACAACTGGTGTCAGAAAAAGAAAAACGTAAAAATATAAAAGATTTCAAGCATATTTTTTCACTACAACTACTTTCATTTGCACAAAATTAGCAAAAGAATAAAACGTTTTTACTAAAAATGGATTTAATTCCTAACAGTGCTCAAGAACACGAATATGAATGAATTCAAAGACTATAAAATCAATTTTAGTGCTTAATATGAATTTTGCATAATGTCAGAAAATTTTTTATTAACATTTATCTGCGTTACGTGGAGATGTTTGTGAGATATCCCATTTCTAAATTGTATTTAAAGCTTACTACAATCTTGAAATACTAATTATGATAACTGTTGTGTTCATTAGATTCACAGTTCCAGAATATTAGGCCACTATATAATGTGTCTGCTTAATTCAATACATCCGCATATGCTGTACTGGGTGGATAAGAAGAACAAGATATTTGAAATTAAGCTTGTTCATAGGTCAAGTTCAAAATGGGAAGATAAAGACATCAGTCTTTTGAAGGTAAATTATTCAGTAATAAAATTTTTCTCATTGTTTTTATTGGAATACAGTGACAGGGCAGTGTATTACTGACAGGGTTGACATGATTTCTGACAACCGCAACATAACTCCGTTTATACTGTTTTCGGCTGCTGTTTAGGGGGAAAACACACATGCACACACACAGATGATTATTTTGTTTTTATGATAAAATTAGGTTTAAATTGTATCCGATTATTTATTCATTCATTTCGAAGATTAATATCTTGAACTGCACATTACGATGATTTTTAATCTATTACTAATTAAATATTTATGCATTTTTTTAGAATTAGGCATCTTGCAAAGATAAAAATTCAACAACAATCTGCTCTCTTATATTTTATTAATATTGGCTTGATAGCAAGTTAAGCAACTTAAATAGGTTTTATTTTTACATTTTTAGTTTTTAATTTTATTATGCTTATAATTTAATTTTATAATAATAAAAAATCTGAAAGGTTTCAGATTTTACTGGTCGCCTAAAAGGGTTTGCTAAGGTTTATTTTATGCTCTCGCTGAACTCGCAGACTACAGAGGCTGTTCGCACATTTTTTAGACGATTTTGGTAAGCGGTAATAAAAATTCGTTTGCTGAAAAAGAAGTAATTGCAATTGTACTATATTTTTAAAAGTTAATATTATCGTCTGTGGCTTGAAAGTTTTTTTTATTAAAAATGGCGAATTTAACAAAGCAGTGGTTCGAAGGCTACATTTGCGCTCTTTCTGAAGAGAAGTATGTTTTTGGATACTCCGTTATCCAAAAAACGATGTGAGAGTCATGGTTTTGTGATATCTAAAGCGTCGATAGGTAATATCATCAACAAGAAAGGAAAAAAACGTCAAATTGGAGCCTCAAGTGGGACAAAAATTCCAAACATGTATCCAAGGGAAAAAACGGACATCTTCGACTATTACAAAGGTACGTTGTTTAATGTTAAAAGAAAATCCCCCTAGTCAAAGGACAGTTGCAAAATCATTAAAATGCTCGATGTTCCACTGTAAAGAAAATGATAAACGTTGATTTAAATCTTAAGAAAGCGAAAACACGCAATGTGCATCGTCGTCTTCCAAAAGCATATCGCTCAACGCAGGAACACGCTGCAGAATTCTATGAAAAAGCACTTATCCAAAGAAAACGGAAAACAATTGTCACAATAGATAAAGCATGGATGTATTTAAATCATTGTAACAAAAAAGAGCCATTTATTATCATAAAAGGGGAGAACAAAAATTTAAGTACATGGATCAAAGAATCGAAAGAAAGTTTTTGTAAGGGATTCATGATTGTTGCTGGTTTTTCTTATAATGGCAAGTTAAAAATAAAGAGAGTGCAAAAAAATGTCAAGATTAACTCCAAATACTATCAGGAACATATTTTATCGCCAATGTTTCTGAATGAAATACCATCTCTTTACCCACAGTGCCAACAATCTGTGAGAGTTTATCAGGAAAAAGCTAGCAGTCACACATCAAAATCCACTGTAAATTTCCTAACAGAAATGGAACAAAAAACTACTATCAAGGTATCCCTACTAAATCTCCCGATGTGTCACCTATGGCTTTTTGTGCTTTCGGACTTTTAAAAGCTGCATTATCCAAATGTTGTCCCAAAACCCTAACAGGACTCTGGAAAGCTGTTCGGGAGGAATGGGATAGAATATCTCCTCTGCCACTTCAAAATGCATTATTATCCTGAAAATTGCGGTGTCGAAAGATAGTTCAGAATAAGGGATGTCAAATAGAACATTTAAAACACAAGAATTTTATGTTAGTTTTGTGAATACAATATATATCGTCTAAAAAATGTGTGAACAGCCTCTGTATTAATCTGCTGTTGGATACACTTCATCTGATACACTTTTGTTTTCTCGTTTTAGCTTTATTACTAAGCACCATTTTCTTCGCACTTATGCACTATACTATTCAACAGCAAAATTACAAACAAGCAGCATGCTTTTAGAATTCTCAATGCAGTGTTCAGTGTTAGCATACATTTTTCTATATTTTTAGCCTTTTCTCAGTTCATCATATCACTGTTCAGTTTTATTAGAAAGATAATTCGCGAATTTTTTTTGTGTCCTTTTATTTATGCTCTCTGTGTTAAATTTATTAATTAAATGTAATGTTCTTCGCACTTACGTCACTTAAAATTTAACCCAACAGAAAAATCATAAAATACTTAAAAACAGCAAATTTTTAAAATTTCCGATAGACACTCTCGATAGATAATACAAAAAAGTACTTTATACCGTACAGTATTGCCACTGTTCGCTTTCAAATCGCTGAATTTGTTAATCATAAATTCATTAAAGGTTTAGAAAATATTGAACAGATAATAAAACAAATCCAAATTCCGGTTTTCAGGTTCCGATATTCGGTTGGAAGACAACGTTATTCAGAATTGGATGGGTCTGGGTACCGCCGTTTTTTTACAGTGCGAGAGATATACGTAAACTGCGAAGAAAAAATATAGGAAAGTTCTATATCTACCGTTCTACTGGGCCGCTTGACGAAATTCAAATTGAGTTTTTCATGTCTCGAAAGCGTGACTTAGGATATATATTAGATTTATATATAGTATTGTTCTAACACAGGTATTTTGGCACAAAATCGTGTTTTTCCTGAAATAACATACCAATATTTTTCCATATTTCGATTTTATGACTCAAATTATGCCTAGATGTAAAATTTCATAACTTTTGGTGAGAAATTTATGGAGAAATTTAAAAATTTAACTTGGTGAATTTTTTCAGTTTGCGCCAAGAGCTTCTTAATTTATGGCAACCTATTTTCATTTCCCTTTTTTCACTGCACAGGAGCGGAAAAAGTCATCATTCATACTTTCAAATAATTTTAAAGAAATGCGTAAGCTACATTTTGCGTTATTATTGCTAATAACAAATATGCTAAATTTCAAAACGCGTCAATGTGCAAATTCAAGTATATCTTAGGAAATTTTGAATAAAAAACTCTGTTTTTTTTTGCCGGTATGCTTAGAAATACATCTAAGATGACGGTAAAACTTTTATAGGTTATAAACCAAAATGTTTTCCGAAAAAGTTTTAAAAGCTATTTAAAAATACAAATTTTAAAAGTAAATCGTAAAAAATGGGCGAATTTTATTTGGAATGAACCTAAATTTTGAAATGTGTAAGGAAGAATAAAATAAGTTTAATAAAAAAAGAGATATATTAATAATTATATATCAAATTCAATTAACATGGGGGAACTAAAATTTTGAGAGCTAATTCTAATTTGTTAAAAACTACTCGCGCGAAGTTTACAAAACTTGGCAGTTTGGCATAATTTGAGCCGTAGAATCAAAAGATAGAAAAATATTGGCCTGTCATTTCAGAAAAAGTCTGATTTTTCTGTCAAAATACTTATATTAGACCAATGCTAAATATATCCTGATTCGGGCTTTCCAGATATGACGCAATTTGAATTTCGTCAATTGGCCCTGTAAAACGGGAGATATAGAAATATGCCTTTTTTTTGCGGTAGTGTACATGCATGCAGCTTCTTCATTATTTAAATTCTTTACATATATTGCAGGGCGATAATATTTTGTGGCAACAATCAAAGAAGCGATTCAAGTATTTAGAGTGATACAACGCAACTTCCCGTTTCGAGATTAACAGCCATTTGGGCTAACGCCTCTGTTGGCTGAAAAGTTGCATGTTATAAAAACAATTGCTACACACACACAAGCACACAGACTTACCTACATGCACATACACACACATAAAATCTTTTTCTCCGAATGAATAAAATCCTTACTCGGATTTATTTCGCACCCTTTGGTCGTAGATACATAATCCCAATCACAAAAGTGTTTTAAACGAAGAAAAATTTATTGTAATTATTGTTTTGGTGTTTTTTAACATACAGAATCATTTCGTAAAAATTACGGAATCTAACTTTTCATATCGTCTTCTGACTCTTATATAGATCAAAATGTATACCCCTTAAAAATGTAATATTCTAGCTAAACTAGATTTCCTCGTAAGCTAGAATATTGAAGAAATGTGTAGCGACTATTCGCTAAATTCTGCTAGCGTAAGTTATCAGGTTCAATGTTCCGCCTTACTTGCTTTGGGAACATTCAAAGACCTGACTCGGAACAGGGAGCTTACTAAAGCTATGTTCAATAAATGTGGGAAGTAGACAAGATACACAGGAAGGGTATACGAAACCCTTTATTTTTCTCTCTTTACAATGATTTCCGGACTTCGGAATACAGAGACCAACCACTTGTGGTCTGAACGTAAGAATATAAAAATATTAACTAAACTCTAACTAACTTTGGAATAATAAACGTGGAAGATTGGCCGTATATTAACAGGAAGCCGTATGTAGTACAGAGAACTGTTAACACTACAATACGTTTAAAATTATCAAGAGGATTAAACCTCTGGCCTGGAAGGCAACCAGCAACCGAGTAAAACTACTAACTCCTTCCTCTTCCTTGCTTGGCAAAAAGCCACAACTTAAGTACTTGGCGTTCGCCAACAAATTTGCATAAATAAGTTAAAGCTTTTAATTCTGGCCGGAAGTAGAAAATAAGAAGTGATAGTAAAGATATAAAATAAAATAAACGTTAGTAAAACTTAAGATCCTTACAAAGTGACAAGGCCAAAGAAAGGCTAATTTACCCATTATTCCAACTTGAAATGAATTAACAGTTGGGCCTTCTAGGCGCACAAAGCCTTAGTAGGCTTTCTGGCCTCAGGCCCACCAGCGGCTAAGCGGTAAAGTTGCTGAACACTGGTAGTTCGGTCCGAGGTTCGAATCCCGCGAACGGGCTGGTTGCATGGGCGTTTTCGTGGTTTTCTCCATGTGTAACGTGTATACGAGTCAGTTTCCCTTAGAAAGTCCTCCACGAATGCATCCCTCCCCGTAGGCAGATAGCCCTCGAGGCTTTGCCATAATCACACACACACTATCTGGCCTCAGAGGCCCTAGCAATATATTTGTATATGTTACGGAGAAACACCGAAATCTGGAGAATGTCAACATTCACATAGTCTCTTGGTGTATGTCCGAAATATTTTCCAAATACTCTTATTTCTGACTTACACCGGTCAATGTCGACATTCACCATGTACTAATGGTGAATGTTGAACATATAACAATATTATATTTTCTTCTCCGTAATTCAGTCGCGAATAAACGCACTTGAAACTTGAAATAAGAACTTAAGAACATGAGAACCTAAAACACACAATACATTCAAAATGAGAAAGGAAAATAATAGAAATTAAAAACTTACTTAATTATACAGTGCGTTTTAAATGAGAAAATAAAATAACAGTGATAAAAAACTTACTAAATTATGTGATTCAAATCTTATTTATTGCAACAACTTAAACTATTATAGCACTTTATGACCTCTCTTTTCGACTTTCACCAGAGCATATCTGTGATTGTCGACATACACCGGTGAGGGTCCGAATATACAAGAATGTAGTGAAATATTCGGTCTTTCATCGACGTATTTTGGTGAATGTTGATATTCTCCGGTGAAAGTCGACATTCTCCAATTTCTGCCTTTCACGATAACATATACATATAAACGTACACAACACTCTAAGATAAAAAAAAAGATTCGTAATCCGGAAATTTTATAAAAATTTAAAAAGCCTTAGACACTAGTTGTAAAGTATGTCTTTATTATATTATATAAGGCCCTGTAGCTAGCTAAAACATCAATATGATATTTGGTTCATCAATCAGTTAATGATTAAAAAGAATGACTAATATTTGAATAATTTAATTTTATTTGAGTACTTGGATTTAATCCTAAATATTTTAGAAATATTTCCTATTAACATGATTTACATTTACTTTAGGAACTGGACCAACTTTTCGGAGATAGATATAAAGGTCAGAAAAATTATGAAGAAAACTGCAGGCGCAGAGCTCAATCGAATTTGAATAATTTATGTGAAAGAGGTTTGCTGAAAAAAATATGCGAGAAAAAAGAAACTAAATCCATCCGAATAGCAAGATATAAAATTACTGAAAGCGGTGAGTTTAAAAATTTTTTTTTTATATAATTCAAAAGCAATATACGGCATGAGAAATATTTTTTTACTGAAAATCTTTAGTATTTTTTTGATGAAAATCATGAGAAAAATTAAAGAATTTAAAATTAAAGAATTTAATGAGACTTTTGAAAAAAAAAAAAAAAAAAAAAAAAAAAAAAACTGTTGTACCAACACATGGAATTTGGGATATATTCTGTAAAACTTTTGACCGATATTTCACGATTTGACGATTATTTTTATATTACAAGGAATTTAAGACATTTTTTCTTTGAGTCTTTATAATTGGTAGCAAGCTTATCCAGCTATCACTTGACGTATAAGGATTTTATATTAATTATCCAGTTATTGTGATTTAAACCATTCCCATAGTTTTCTTTCCGCAGTCCGCGTGAGAATGAAAATTAGTTGTTAAAGAAAATTAGTTGTTAAGTTAAGTAAAGGGTTTTGAATGTTTTAGCATTAGAGCCTTCGACAGCCTAACCTAAAAATTTACGTCCTCTCGCCAGCTTTGCCCGAGAATATTCCGGCTCTAGCCACTTTGCTGGCCGATATTTTAATCGCACCGTTAAAATATTTGAGCCAGCTCAAGTAAACCCTCTGTGCAGTCTTAGACTACGTTAATTAAATTATAATTTCACTTGATAAAATGTTTATTTTAATCTTCACAAGATTTTGTCATCTCGCTTTGTCAGTCTGGTAGAGTCTGAAGAACTGATTTATGTTTCCACACAACTAGAACCCTACAAAAGTTCTTGATGTAGATATCAGGCTGGAGCACGGTTGAATTTTCGCATTTCTGGTTCCTCCGAAAAAAATGTCATATTATTTTTGTTTTAAAATTAATCTCACACTTGAAGAGTAAGAAACGTTATTCCTCCAGAAGCCAGGAGCTATTAAGATTTCAAACATTAATGAAGAACTTAGCTAGAGAACGTTTTCAGAGAAGAGAAGGAGATGGCGTTCCAGGCGTTCTTTAGTGCAGTAACCACTGGAATCAGTCAGTAGATCAAACAATGATGAATCATCTATAAAATCCCCCCTTTCTATGAAATCAAGCTGTTATCTGGATCCTGTTAAAGTAGGCCTCTGTGTGAAGATGCCAGGACAGAAACGTCTTCTTCCCAAAGGATTTGTTTCTTATACACAGCTGGGTAGTATATATGGATAAGTGTCCGCCGATAACATCGCGGCAAAAACATCGCGGACGAAAACGTCGCGGAGAAAACAACGCAAGGCGAAAACATCGTGCTACAAAACATCGTGGGAGAAACCATCGCAAAGAGAAAGCATCGCAGTCCTAAAACATCGTGGTACAAAACATCGTCGTCGAAAATAAAGCGGTTCAAAATCTTCGCAGTTTAAAAACATCGTCGTCGAAAATATCGTGGTAAAAAATAAAGTGTCTACAAATCATCGCATGACGATAACATAGCAGACATGCTTTTTCCATACATGCTTTAATAACTGTAAATGAATATTCCCATAAAGATTTGTGAGCGCAAAATGTAAAGAAGGATAATTTTTACTTTCACATTTTTTATTAACTAATAAATTTTTTCTGAAAAAGTAAGAAGGAAACTTAAGCATAGAAAATTAAATGCAACTTATAGATTATACTTTTCACGAAAAATTACCAGTAAAAACTTTATAAAAAATTATTTATTAATGGCCTTTGTTAGTTAACTATGTCGGTTTAAAATTATATTAATTGCTATAAGTTGCATTAATTTGCTATGCTTAAGTTTCCTTCTTACTTTTTCAGAAAAAATTTATTAGTTAATAAAAAAATGTGAAAGTAAAAATTATTCTTCTTTCCATTTTGCGCTCACAAATCATTATGGGAATATCCATTTACAGTTATTAACGCATGTTTGCAAAAAGCATGTATGAAAAAAGCATGTCTGCGATGTTATCGTAAAGCGATGATTTGTAGATACTTTATTTTTTACCACGATATTTTCGACGACGATGTTTTTAAATTGCGAAGTTTTTGAACCGCTTTATTTTCGATGACGATGTTTTGTACCACGATGTTTTAGAACTGCGATGTTTTCTCTTTGCGATGTTTTCTCTCACGATGTTTTGTAGCACGACGTTTTCGCCTTGCGTTGTTTTCTCCGCGACGTTATCGTCCGCGATGTTTTCGGCTGTAACCTATGGATAAGGTGAAGTGTGGTGGATACCAATTATTTAACTTTAGGCAATATGGGTATTATCCATCCGGGCTCACTAATTATCCAAATAACTCTCCCGCATGGGGTCTTGCCAGCCCTTGCTGTGTTGCATAAGTCAGTGCCTCTTTTGGACAGAAACTCATTGTGTTTATCGATTTCCTTTCCGAGGTGTTTGAGATACGGCCTTTAAGACAGCTGCGAGGTCTCATGTTCAGAGACTGACCTTGGTGTTATGCTTGCAAATACAAGCAGCGGTCATTCTGGGCCTTTGGCTGCTCACTTCAGTTGGTTTGACATTGGTTTTACAAACAGGAATTATAGAACACATTAGGGCTTTGTCCTTTTTTAGGGACTGTTTGTCAACTTGCATCACTTGCTACTAATGAGACAATATCGCTTCACTCATTCTCAAAATTTCAATATTTAGGTTTCTTTCTAATTAAACAACGAAGAGAGGCATAGAATTTGCCCACATCTAGCGGTTTTTACAACTAACATAGTTTCCAGTAAAAATATTGATATGAGAAATTTTTCCTGAGGCCTAATTTTCTCTTGGATACTTTCTTACGAATGTAAATTTCACGGTTACATGCTGTTTCGTCTGCTGTCAATATGTTATTCTTCCTTTTTATTGCTTAACTATTCGACACGATTTTATATAGTTAAATGAATTTTAAGTCAGCTTCTGGATCCAATCATAACGTAGGTATCGTTTATTCAATCATAAATTAATTCATTATCATCATCCAATAATAAATTAGGTATCGTTTATTCAAGAAAATGTGTGATATTGTCTCACTGAATATATTTTATGCCGAAGACTTTGAAGAGTTATGAAATTTCGGAAAGAAATTTTGAAATCTTCACATTTTACTAATTATATGTTAATTGTTTTAAAAGCAAATTAAGGGAGAAATTAAAATGAATAAAAAAGGACTGGGTAAGAAATTACATTCAGTTAAAGCAAATGGAAGTTTTTCTCCTAATGGCGTTATTTCCATTAATTGCAGGTTGGAAGATAAAAGAATTGAATAATTCTACACCTAAGCAAAAGCATGGTCTGCAGGAAAATGAAGAGGCTATGGAAACTCAGGTAAATCATACTTTTGAAAGACTGTAGTATAGATGTTTACCGAAAACATCGCGGACGAAAAATCTTGGGAAAATACAAACGAAATGGATAGTAAAAGCTCATGGGAAAAAAAAAAAGAAAAAAAAATCTGAAATTGTCAAATATGTCTAAAATACTGATTCGAGAACACGAGTTTTAAAACATTATGCGAAATTCGTTGGGAGAAAGTGGCAAAAAAAAAAAAAAAAAAAAAAAATCTGAAATGTTTCAGATTTTAAATTACGTCCAAAGGGGCGTTTTTTAACATTTTGTTGTGTTACCTTTCTTTATTAAATATCATGTTCCTCGCACTTAAACCATAAGATCCAGTGCAACAGCAATATCGCAAAATAGTTTTAAAACGAGCATATCTTTAGAATTTCCGATACAGAGACTCACGCGCTGGAGATAAAAATGTTTTTTTTTTCTGCACAACGTTGCCATTGCTCGCTTTGAAATCCTTGAGTTTGTTAATCAAAAATTCGTCAAAGTTTTAAAAAATAGGAAATCGATCATAAAACAAATTTCAAATTTCAAATTTGGTCTTCCACATGCTCATATTCGTTGGAGGATTACGTTATTCAAAATTCGATGACTCTATGTACCGTTATTTTATGACAATGCGAGAAATATACATACATTTACGCAGATTTTCATTATTTAATTTCTTCAAATATAATGCAGGACTCTAACATTTTATGGCAACAGTTTGAAAAGTGAACCGACATTTATGAGTCCGACGCAAAATGCCAAAACGAAACTAATAGTCCTTCGGGATTCAAATCCCTTTGGACTAAAAAAAAAAAAAAAAAAAAAAATAAAAAAAACCTACAAAAAACATTGATGGGAACGAGACAGCAGTTTTAGGGTAAAGTGTAGGAGCAGAAGAAGAGGAGTATTTACTTTATTTCTTTTTGAATATAAAATTTGTGAAAAGAAGAAAGAATTAGGCATTAAAATGAATGATAGAAAAAATGCAATTTATAGCACTTAATAGACTTTTAAACTTACTTAATTTAGATCATAAGGGTCATTAATAAATTAATTTTTTACAAAGTTTTACTAGTAGTTTTACATAGAAAAAATAGTTTAAACAAGATTACAAAAAGGCAGATAAGTAACTGAGGCAAATAACTGAGATAAGTAATGAGGTAAAATGCTTTCCTGCGATGTTATTGTCATGCGATGATTTGTAGGTGCTTTAATTTATGTCACGATATTTTCGATTACGATGTTTTTAAACTGCGAAGTTTTTGAACCGCTTTATATTACACTACGATATTTTGTATCTTTATGTTTTACGAACTGCAATGTTTTCTATTTACTTTCTTTTCTCCCTCGGTGTTTTATACCACGATGTTTTCGCCTTGAATTGTTTTCTTCGTGACATTTTCTTTCGCGATGTTTTCGGGTGTAACCGAAAAATTCTTTCAGTAATTTCTTTTTCTTTTCGAAAAATTCTGTAGTTTGATTTTTAGCTCATTTATTAAAGACTGTCTATGTTCGATCATACCTTTATAGCGGAAAATGGGAAATTTGATTACTAAGGATACTTGATTCCTAAATAAAGATTACACGAAAATCAGTCAGAAGAATTCTGAAATACCTTAACAAATATTTCCTTAAAAACTGACAAAACAAAATAATTACTCAATCATTTTTTTACGTGAGAAGTGATTTTTCAAAATGTGGAGTTTTAGCTTCTTTAAAAAGCCAGTATTCTGACAGAAAATTATAATTTTCTGTTATTCGCAGGTTTAAGAAATTTAACTTTTTATTATTATTTTAAGATACAGATTTATTCTATGCTAATGTAATCTCTTCAGTAAATTAATTTTGCTTAAAATTAAATGCTTAAATTAATTTTGCATTCAAAACGGATTGTTGCTTAAAACACAGATGGGGAGAAATAGGATCTTGTTGTTGTTATACGGATGATAATAGATGAAATATCACACTGACAAGTCTATGTAATAAAGGCATTATCTTTTTGGCTTTTGTCACATATCGTGTCAAATTCTGCACGAAATGAAATTGATATTGATTGAATAATAGGTATAAATATGACTGATTGATTGTTAATAGAATGCTTGACTATGAATTTACTTTTCTATTTTTGATTTCTTTGTTATCAGAAACAAAAATAAAGCGATACAAAAATGCAAAGTTATAGAGTGCGGCAGGGGAACTTTCTTATCTGAAACGCACGCCATCTAGCGACATTTATTCCGAGAAGGGTGGGGTAGCGCTCATTGAAAAGAGCGGTGTCATGCAGGTTTAGTACCGATTATGCAGTGGACGAGCGAGGAGGGCGCGTTTGCCGTGGAGTTGTACTATTCAACGTACTGCATTTTCATCCATTTAAATTGGCAATGGTGCAAAAATTTAATCCACGAGTTTTTTTTTCCACGAAAAAATGCATGCAAAGCTGTTATTGACAATATGCCTCATGATGCCCTTGTGTTCCTCAGCGATGAGGCTCATTTTTATCTTTTCGTTTGCGTGAATAAGCAAAACATGCGATACTGGAGTGGGACGGGTCCCCAAGAAATTCATGAGCAGGCCCTCCATACAGAATGTGTTACTGTTTGGTGTGCATTGCCTAGAATAGGCACCATTGGACCATGGTTTTTGAAGATCGTTTCCCTGGACGCCTTATCTCCTTACGGGGTGATCTTCAGTGGCCATCGCGTTCGCCTGATTTAGCCTCGTGTGATTTCTTTTTGTGGGGCTATCTAAAATCTCTAACGTCCAAAAACCCTGGCTCAACTGAAGAACAATATTCAAGCTGCTATCGACAACATACCCGTTGATATGCTGGTAACAGTAGAAAGAAATTTCAAAACCCGTCTATCTCAATGCATTGACCAGAATGGAGGCCACCTTAATGATATTGTGATAAGTATTCGTGCAGTATTACAATATCTCACAGAAGTTATATTTTAACTACTCAAACGTTCAAGAGAACTTAATTCAAAACAGCTAAAGAAAGCTATTCCGCGAATGCGCTACAGTCAACAAGAGCAGTTTTCTAAACAACAACAAACTAAGTAACTACAACGAACTGAGAGGTTTTCCTCCTTTTATAAGATTTTAAAATCGCGCGCGAGAATTTTCTACTACTTTCTCGAAATCAAAAAGAGATATTTATTAAATGTTACATGCACGCGCTGTTGTATTTTCAATTTTCCGGCTTAGCATTCTTTTAACATTCGTCACGCGCTGCTCTGCACGGGAAATAAAACCATTTAATTTATAATTTAACTAACATAAGCTATTTAAATACCAAATCCGTAACAATGTTATATTTAACCATAATAAAAAAACTTTAACTCTTTCGCATCGAGAGACGACCAACTCTGTTTTCAACAAACATCGAAAACGCCCGTGTTTACGAATTTGTCTTGGAATATTTTTCCTTTCCCCCTGCCTGGTAGATCCATTGTGTGCAGTTTCACCTTAGGGCCGGATTGCACCTGCGAATGTCAATAGCTTTCCGTATTTCTCCTTTATTTGCTTCAAAAGAATGATTGACATGTCTTTTAACAATTCGCGAAACCAATGAGCTATACACTAAGTAGGTAGAAAATAAACGAGGCGTTGGGGCGGTTTGCCGTTGCCTGAATGAACGGGCGTTACGGGCGACTTCGATGCGAAAGAGTTAAGTGTCTATCTATAACTTGGAAAAAATTAAACTGATAACGCTTGTGTTAATTAGTGTTTCTGCAGAGTTGTAAAACAGAAAGGATAATTTTTATTTCTAATGAAAATATAGATGCGATACCTTTCGCAATAGATGACTGCATAAATACATTCAAGGGGGAATGTATTAAAAACTTAAATGATTGTTATACATATTTATGAGTTCTTAAATTTCATATTAAATTTTTTATGAGCACGAAGTTTCTTATTACAGTTTCTTTCATTCTGTAGCCTGAAGACACGGTCTGTACCGTAAGTCCTCCAAGGACACCCGACTTTGTTAATCTTCAAGTCGTGCCTATCAACTCCCCAGTATTAATCGTCGGGAATTCGGTAAGGACACTAACTTTATCATTTATAAATGAGTGAAATTTCAGTTCGTAAGTGGAAAATAGCATTTCATAGCTTTAGAAAACATGAATTTCTGTTCTTTAGAAATTGCCGAAGGGCTCGGGTTCGAATCCCGGATGAGGCATGGATGTTTGTAAATGTATAGTGTCCGTGCGGCGGTTTCCGCCGAAAACATTGCGGAGAAAATAACGCAAGGCGAAAATGTCGTAGTACAAATCATTGTGGGAGAAAAGAAAGCAAAGAGTTCTAAAACATCGTGGTACAAAATATCGTGGTTGAATATCGAAAATAAAGCGATTCAAAAACTTCGCGGTTTAAAAACATCGTCTTCGAACATATCGCGGTAAAAAATAAAGTACCTACAAATCATCGCATGACGATAACATCGCACGTATGCGTTTTTCAGGTTTTAAATGTTGTAAGTGCATTTTTTCGTAATGATTTGGGAGGGGGTGAAGGAAAGAGGGATAACTTTACATCCATATTTCGTATTTTTGAGTGAACTAATAAATTTTTGCTGAACATGTAAGAAGGAAAATTAAGCATTTAAAAATTGAAAATTAGCAGAGATTTAATGCAACTTGCAGCACTTAATAGAATTTTTGAATTTATAGTTAATTAACAAAGGTTATTAATAAATTATTCTTTTCTTTAATGTTTTGCTCATAGCTTTTCATGAAAAATATAGTCTAAAAATATTTAGAAAAAGGAAAACAAATAGCTGCATGAGGTTACCTATTAATTTTTTTTTCACGTTTGTTAATCCGTTACTTGTTTTAGTGAAAATTATATCTTGTTTTGTTTCCTTTTATTATTGAAGTATCGCTTGTACTTTTACCCTCTCTCCTTCTTGCGCTTCCAAATCATTATGTGACGCATATTTACGATATTATCGTCATGCGATGATTTGTAGATAATTTATTTTTTACCATGATACTTTCGACGACTATGTTTTTAAACAACGAAGTTTTTGTATTGCTTTTTTTTTTCGACTACGATATTGTGTACCACGATGTTCTAGATCTGCGATGTTTTCTCTTTGCTTTTACCCTCCCATGATGTTTTGTACCACGACGTTTTCGCCTTGCGTTGTTTTCTCCGCGACGATCTCGTCCGCGACGTTTTCGGCTGCAACCCGGGCGGCATAGTTATTACTTACGCAATAAATAGTTTGTGTGGATATTATACAACCAGAAAGCCCGGCGGTCATACGAAATGACCGCTGTTCTAGACATTATAAATTGTAATTAAAATGATTTGTGCAAAGGTGTCTGCTAATTTAAACTGAATTATCCAAGGCAGGCGGCGAGGACACCCCTTTGTTTACTGCCCCACAGGTTATCCCTCTTCTACTTGCTTAATTGCTTAAAGTAGAGTGCAATGAAGGAAACTACTGGCGGTACATTTCTTAACAGCCACCGCTAGCTCAATCAATCAAGGTGATTTAAATAATGAAATGTTAATTCACATGTCAAAGATCACTTTGTACACAACATTTCTTGTGTAGATCTTTCCATCATTTTTAAGCTCGCCTTGCAGAGGACCGTCCATTATTTTTAATTTTACGTCCGTTCTTTCGCGAACTCTTGAACAGGTAACATAAAGTTGACCGTGTCCAAATGCAGGCTCAGGTAAAAAGATGCCAACACGCTTAAGCGTTTGGCCCTGAGACTTATGGATGGTGATAGCAAAGGCAAGTTTTACAGGAAATTGTCTACGTCTCAATTGAAACGGCAACCCTGTGCCGTGGCAACTTCACCCCTTTGGCTAGTACAGTTACGCAAGCAAACCAATAAACTATCGGCGACTTAAGCCGCCTATATATATGGGAGGAGCAACATTATCTCCTCCGAAGCGGCTGGCTCCCAGGCTTAGCGAAGCACACCGTTGGATTCTCCGCAGGTCCGTGCCACGCCATTGTGACCATTCGCGTCTTCTTAGGACTTTAATTAGCCGAGATATTAATTAAAAACTAATTTTCCGCTACGTTTTGCCTACGTTTTCCACTTTCTTTCTTGGGTTTTCCCCATTAGAGGGATTTGGCTACGTGCCAAATTCTTTTTTCTCGAATATCTACGGAACGAATATCTTTTCATCATGTATTTAAAAGACTTAACAATTTACTAGCCATTAATATGATCCATATTCTAATCTTTTCCTAATAATATTGTGAGTTTTCATTTTTCTACTCTTCAAAATAGTAAACTAAATTAATATCTGTGCGTGTATACCTAATTACAATTAGTTGCCGCATATCAATGTAGTAGACTTTTTAGCCGTATACCTAATTACAATTAGTTGCCGCATATCAATGTTTTAACTTTTTATCGTGCTTCCAAGGTGCACCGTGAGGGCGTAGGTCTACTATTGCAAGCGACTACGCACTTGTGCACCCCAAATTTCAGCTATGACAAAGTCGTCATCCTCTCGGAGTCCATGCCGGCTTTACAGGCAACTGGATCAAAGACCTGTCCTATCTCCGAGAAAATCCTTCAATGTCAAATTCGTTTGGAGAAACAGACTAGAGGGTAAAGAGGTTGTATTTGATGTCATTGTGGCCTCTATCAGGCCGACAAGCTTGCAAAAAAAGATACAGAAATTGTTCAAGAAATACCTAGTAATTGCTCTTGATATTCTACAAAATTATACATCAATAAATGTTTAAAATAAAAATGGGGATTTTAACTTAAATGGCGTGTAAGGACATTATCAAACAAATCACGAAGAACAGCTGTGGCTAGTTTCAAGCTTGATGCTAGTCACGACAGTTCGGCCAACCACCTTTATCGTGTTAGTGTTCTTACGAGTCCAAAATGTCCACTTTGCGGATTAAATGAAGAAATGGACAGGATCCACATCAGAGGGTGCCTGGGGCTGAGCGGAGTCTTCGAGATGGAGAGTTTGACTTTTTACGGTATATCTTCCCAGAGTTCTGTTCTGCTTGTATAATATTTGTCTTATTCTCTACTATTGGAAATAAAAAAAATATCTAACTGCAGTTACATTATTTAATAAATGTATTTAATGTATGCTTTACAACTTCATGTTTATGTAATTCTATTTTTGATTTTTCCATAGTGTTTCCTGGTTACTTCTGTAAATGGAGGTACAAGCAACAAGGAGAAAAGGAACGATTTTTCTGCTAATAGTGGCAGTACTAGTCACGGAAATGGCTCGAAAGCAAACGATACTTACGACAATAAAATTATAAAAAATACTATGTATGGAAATGGATTTTCTGATGCAAGGATATACTCAAACAAATTGCCAAACAATCGTATGGACGCAAATGGTTCCAGCAGCGTTGTTAATGCGAACGGCGATATGAGATACGAAACAAAATTGCCCAGAAGTGTGGCTCACTTAGAAGAATCATTAAATAGTGATCCACTTTACTGTCAAGAGGACCGGGAAGTTCAAACGAAGCCAGAAGGAATACAGAATAACGTAAGATACATTTTATAACTAAAAGTCTTTTACTTTATTTACTTTGCAAATCGTACGAATTGTTGTCTTTATTTGCAGAAATGTTTTGTCCCAATATATGATAGGTGCAATATCAGTATTGCATACGGAACTTTAATTGCATTATAAATTTAGTTTTTCGCATCTCCGTTATAGTAAATTTGCTTTTTAAGTTCATTTATCCATCTTCAAAAAATCTCTATTTGTAAATGGAAATTTGGTATGTGCCGTTTAATGTGATCATATTTGTCCACGGCTATTTTAATAACCCTAACCGAATGATAACATTATACAATGAGAAAAAATAGCCCTCAAATCAGCAATGGAATGTAACTAATTGAATATAAATATACCTAGAAACATATACATAAACACTTTCACAACATTTTAATAAGGAATTAAAGAAGTTTATTTATGAAGTGTTCAAAACGTTTTTGGAACTTATTTGACCGATTCTATACCACTAATCTCCGGAGGAGAGGTTTAAGAGCTGCAAGAGACCTTATTGGAAGAGAGCTTGCCAAAACAAAATTAAAAATTAGGAAAAAAAAAACCTTAGTTTTATTTTGCCTTTAATGAAAAGAATTCTGCCGACTTTTTTGTTCCTGAGAAAGAGGGACCTGTGCGTGATGCCCTCAAAACGGAATTGTATATTATAGAGTTATTGAAAATCTACGTCAAACTAAAACTAGAGAATTGCCTAATTTTAAACGATTGAGTAGAATTGAAAAAGATGCTTGGCCACTTTATTTCGGAGCATTTCTGTGTAACTTAGCAATTTTTTTAATACGAGGGCATTTCAAAAAGTGTAATACAATGGCTCGCATTCCTTAAAAATATTTATTTAGAAAACGTCAGTTACATCTTATTAACTAGATTATTTATTATTTTTCGACATAATCACCTCCGTTATCCAAACATTTGTCAAGTCGGTGGACAAGTTTTTGTGTCCCACAGTCATAGAAGGTTGCAGCCTGTTGGAACCCAGCGCGCACACAATTTCCTGTACCCTAACTTGACAGTCACAACTTCATAAAGAGTTGTCATTGATACTTCCGGTATGATCTGATGCAATTATTTCTATTTGAGACGTCTATTCGCACGAATTGCTTCCTCTGTTCTCTGAAGAAGGGCATCAGAGATCACAGATAGCCGACCTGTTCTTTGTTCATCATGAACATCGGTTCTACCGTTAGAGAAATGACGACACCATTTCGTTACACTTTGTCGATTCTTTATGTTCCCATACACAGAAACAATTTCTTTGTGAATATCCGCTGGTCGTTGACCTTTTGCATGAAGAAAACGTATGATGGAGCGCACTTCGCAGTTGGCGGGATTCTGAATCGGCGCAGCCATTTTAAACACGACCTACTCCAACCAGAATCAACGTTGAAATGTCGAACGACCGCGAGGAGAAAACTAACGGTTCAAGGTTAACACCTGTGTTGCCAACTTGCTCACCAAAACTTTTATTTTCCTCTGGCGTACGGTGTATCTTTACTTTTCGAGATGCCCTAGTACATTTTAAACTTACTTACTTACTTAATTTTACTTGGGTTTAAAAAATTATTCTGTAATATTTTGATCCTATTAACCGAACTTTTTATCACAATAAGCCATGTTTTCGCATAGAAAAGTGTGCCACTTGGACAACAACTCAGAAAGTATCGGGAAGATAACATTAACCTCGAGTACAATCAAACGGTGTCTACTGTCTGAGCTTTAGAGAAAACAGAGTGCACGTGAAAGGAATTTTTTCGTATTTAGTCACTTATACGCTTTTAGAGTGAACAGCTCTAAGAAGAGCTGCGCTCTTTTTTTGCGAAGTAGGCGTTTGCTCGCTTAGCAATGTGAATCAGTTAGTGAACTAAAAGCAGATCTTTATTCCTGGTACTCTTCCAAAGAGTATTCTCCATGAACTGTAAAAGAGCTACAACAGTTAGTGAACTAAAAGCAGATCTTTATTCCTGGTACTCTTCCAAAGAGTATTGTCCATGAACTGTAAAAGAGCTAAAACTGTTAGTGAACTAAAAGCAGATCTTTATTCCTGGCACTCTTCCAAAGAGTATTGTCCATGAACTGTAAAAGAGCTACAACTGTTAGTGAACTAAAAGCAGATCTTTATTCCTGGTACTCTTCCAAAGAGTATTGTCCATGAACTGTAAAAGAGCTACAACTGTTAGTGAACTAAAAGCAGATCTTTATTCCTGGCACTCTTCCAAAGAGTATTGTCCATGAACTGTAAAAGAGCTACAACTGTTAGTGAACTAAAAGCAGATCTTTATTCCTGGCACTCTTCCAAAGAGAATTTGTCCATGAACTGTAAAGACCTACAACTCCATATAAACAAAATTAGAAGAAACTACAACATCATATAAACAAGGATAGGAAAAACGTTTTTAAATTCTTTCCTTTATGTATTTAAAACACTGAATAAATTAGTAGCTGTTAGTAAACTTCGTACTCTTATCATTTGCGAATAACATTCTGAGTTTTCATTATACTGCTCTTCAAAATATTAAATTAAATTAACATCTCTGTGTGTATATCTAATTACATTTTTTAACGGCCATACCATGCTGGAAATACCGGTTCCCGTTCGATCTAATTACAATTAGTTGCCGCATGCCAATGTAATAGACCTTTTATCTGTTTTAAGAAACGTTTCCGAGGTGTTTCGTGAGCAGCTAGGCCTACTATTGCAACCGACTACGAATTGGTGCAACCCTAAGACCGATTAATACCCCAAATTTCAGCTATGAAAACGTGATATCCACTCGGACTCCAGGCTATTGGATTAGAGACCTACTCTATCTCCGAGAAACTTCTTGAATGCCAAATTCGTTTATAGAAACTGTGACTAAAACCTGTGGTAAAGAGGTTGTATTGCGATGGATCATCGGTTATTGTAGCGTTTATCGGGCCTAGTAACTTATAAAAAAGGTACATAAATTGTTAAATATCTACAAATTGCTCTTACTATTCTTCAAAATAAAACAGCTGTAAATGTTTGAAAAAGAATGGAGAGTTCAATTTAAGTCGTATGTAAGGATATCTTGGGAAGGAAATAACCAACCAAATCACTGAGAATGGCTATGTCTAGTTTCAGGTTCGATGCTAGTCACGAATGTTTAGCGAACCATCTCTATCGTGCTGGTGTTCTTACCAGCCCAAACTACCCACTTTACGGCTTAGATGAAGAAATGGACGGGACCCACATCAGAGGGTGCCCGGGGTTGAGCGGAGCCTCCGAGATGGAAAGCTTCACTTTTTACGTTACATCTTCATAGAATTCTGTTCTGTTTGTATAATATTTGTCTTATTCTCTACCATTGGAAATAAAAAAAAATATCTAAATGCAATTACTTTATTTGATAAGTGTGTTTAATATATGTTTTACAATTTCAATTTTATGTTAATTCTACTTTTAATTTTTCCATAGTGTCTCTTGGATGCATCCATAAATGGAGTTACAAGCTACAATGGGAAAAGGAACGAATTTTACACTAATAGTAGATGTACTAGTCACACAAACGGCACCAAAACCAACGATAGCTACGACAATAAATTAAGAAAAAATATTATGTATGGAAATGGATTAATTGATGCAAGTATATACTCAAACAAATTGCCAAGCAATCGTCTGAGCGCAAATGGTTCCGACAGCGTTGTGTATGCGATAGGCAATATGAGAAACGAAACACAATTGCCCAGCGGTATGGTACACTTAGAAAGACCATTAAGTAGTTCTACAGTTTGCTCTGAAGCGGACCGGGAAGTTCAAACGCAGCCGGAAGAAATACCTAATAACGTAAGATATATTTTAACTAAACATAACTAAAAGGCTTTCATTTTATTTACTTTGCGAAATCGTACCAGCTGTTGTCTTTATTTGTAAAAATGTTTTGGGCTAATATATGATAGGTAACATTTCAAAGTAACAGCAGTATTACACACGAAACTTTAATTTCATTATAAATTTAGTTTTTTTTTGCATCTCTTTAATAGTAAATTTGTTTTTTAAATTTATTTAATCATTTAATTGTAAATGGAAATTTAGTATGCGCCGCTTAATGTGATCATGTTCGTCCACGGCTATTTTGATAATCTTTACCGAGCGATAACATTAAAAGCTGAGAAAAAATATCGCTGAAATCAGCAATGGAATATAACTAATGTAATGTAAATATAACTAGAAACATATACATAAGCATTTTCACAGCATGTTAGTAGGGAAATGCAAAAATTTGCTTATGAACTATTAACAAAGTTTCTGGAAATTATATGACCGATGCTATACCACTATAATCGGAGGGCATACTTAGTTGGAAGAGAATTTGCCGATGCAAAATAAAAAATTAGGCCAAAAAACAAACAAACAAACAATAACTTTGGTATTACTTTGGCTTTGATAGCTTCAGGGAAAAAGAATTCTACCGACGTTTCCCCCCTTGAAAAAGAGGGACCTCAAAAGTGTGTGATGCCCTCAAAAGGGATAGACTTATTGAAAATCTACGTAAAACAAAGATTAGAGTATCGCCTAATTTTAAACTTTTGAATGGAATCGGAACCAAGATGATTGGCCACTTTATTTGGGAACATTTCTCTGTAATTTGAGAATTTTATAATGCATTTTAAACTTTACTAATGACTTTTCTTTGGTTTAAAAAATTCTTCTGCAATAATTTGGATCCTATTAACCGAACTGTTGATCACAATAAGCCGTGTTTCCGCATTGAAAAGTGCGACACTTGGACAAGTGTTCGGAAAACAATATTCAAATTAATTGCCTAATTGTATCAGAAACTGCATGTATTTGAAGAATTAGAAATACTATTGATGTAACAAACATTGCTTTGATCTATCAACACATTACAAAGCCATATGGATTAATAATAGGTGCACTAGGTAGTTAAGAAAATTTAAACTAGAGGTGGACAAAATCCTCTTCTCAGAACAGTTCGCTCACTGAAATGAATGGGTTTCTTTTTATGACACACCGCTTACTAATAATAACCTAATGAATAATTCCGGAACTAGGGGTGAATAATGAGCGATTAGAAAAAATGAGACAATAGCAAAAAAATCGAGCCAATAGTGGAATCAGAAGAATGAACTCATACGAAGGGTAATTCCCTGAACTAGTTTCTTTCAATTATAGTTTTGAGGTTCCCTAAAATTTTCCTTCTACACAGAACTAATAATAAAAAAATTTCACCAATTTTTGGAAATGATAAAATTTGGACTCATATTTGACATGGGCGAATAAACATCCTTTTCTCCCTCAAAATAAGAATATAACTTTACTGACCCGCTTCCAACAACAGCTTCCGTTTTTTCTCGCAAAGCAGGCGTTTGTTAGCTCAAAGTGAGTAAGTTCATGAGCGAATAGCAAATCGTTATTCTTAGCACGCTTCCAACATCACTAGCCCGTAAACTGTAAAGGAGCTATAACTCCATTTTATGGAATCAGAGTAAATTCGGTTTTTGAATAAGTCTTTCTGAGAATCATCCAAATCTAGTAGAAACGTGCAATACGATGGAGAGTTTAATCATGCAAAAAAATTATCCGAAAAAGGATCCTCGTTTACTATAACTCATTCCATGCAATTATTTGTTCTAAGGCTATTTGAACTTCAAGTAAACGTTTATCGTAGCAAATTCTTAAAATGGCCGTTTAAAGAGCAATCCTAATTTAGTGTAAGAGAAATATTCCTGAAAAATACTCTATTCTGCAGCTGAACATTCTGGAATCGAAAGAAAATTTTCATTCCCCAAAATCATGTCATATGGTATAATACCCGATGCATCAACAGACAACCAGTTTGGTTTTACGGTTGCGTAATAATTCTTCGTATGCAATTAATTAACATTTTCTGCTGTCTGTGGTTGGGCAAAAAATTAAATTTGCCTTTGCTTTCAGAGTTATTTTCATGATGAATGAGAATCTCAGTCCTTTTCTTTATCTCGCAATGCATTCCTCCAATGCTGAGTTTTGGAATTATTTATATTTTCGTAAAGAATTTCCAAATGCATTATTTATTAAACCGGTCTGGTGTAGTTCTGGCTTATACACTGGTTATCATAAATTAAGGAAAAATCACAAAAATCACGATTACTGAAAAAGTTACATGTAGAATTTTATGAAACTTACCCACAATATACAATACATAGAAAGGTATCAAATAACATAAAAAGAAATTACCAGACAATTATGGTAGTATAGAAATTAGCCCATGTATAAAATGAACAAATCGAAGATGTCATTTTGCTATAGTAAAAGTACCTAAAATATGGAATATAATCACCTCTACAGCACATTCAGCGATGAAGCAATACAGCACATTCAGCGATGTGTGATGCTTTCAATTATACGGTCTATCAATTCCATAGGAAGCGAGAGCCATTGCTCTTGCAAAGCAGTTGCAAGCGCGGCAAGGGTCTAAAGGGGCGGATTGAGAGCAGCTAGACGTCTCCCTAAAGCATCCGAAACGTGCTCGATAGGATTGGTCTGGCCACTCCATGCGCATAATTGTTTCCTGTTGAAGATAACCATATACGACGTGTGGTTCCTGTGTGGTCTTGCATTGTCGTCCTGTAACAGGAAAGCATCACCTATTGCCCCGGCATATGGGCGCACATAAGCATCAAGGATGTCATCTCTATAAACATCAGCATTCACGGTCCCCCTTGGAAAAACATGGAGGTCAGTGCGTCCACCCAAAGAGCTGCCACCCCAAACACAGACACTGCTTCTTCCGAATGCATCCCTTTCTCGGATGATTGGCAGATGATAACGGGTGCCAGGTTCTCTCCATATCAAATAACGCCTATTACCGCGTTCTAGACTAAACCTGGACTCATTCGTAAAGAGAATAGCCCTCCATTGCTCAGGCGTCCAGTGGACACGTTGTCATGCCCACTGTAAACGGTCCCTGCTATGGCGTGACTTGAGCGGCACGCAAATGGTTGTTCGCCTCGCATACAGACCAACTTCGGGAAGCCTTCTACGCACAGTTGACGTTCACACCAACCTTCTGGTGACTGCAGTAAGGGAGGATCTAAGAAGAGTCGGAGTAGCGGTTCTATTCCTGAGTGCCCATAATGTCAACTATCGGTCATCAATGCTCATCGTAGCAGTTGGACGTCCTTGGATGAACCTCCTAGGTGCCGATTCTGTGATTTGAAATTACCTGCAAAGTCTATGAACCACAGAAGAACTCACATTTAGCCATCTGGCCACTTCTGTTTGACTTTGTCCTGCATTTAGTCTTCCAATGGCTTTCTATCTTCCAATGGCTTTCTATCGTAGTTCTGCAGACTAATGATGATCATCGGCATCTGAGATAACCGATTCGTAACAATGATCTCCAGGCTAATGATGCCTGGAGATCATTGTTACGAATCGGCTATCTCAGATTTCTGATGTCAGTATCACAGTGAAACATGTGGACTTGCTCTCAAACATGGGCATTTATGCTCCTCGCAGATGACGTATTCCTAATTTGCATATTGGAGTTTTACTCAGCTACTCTTACTTGGCAACATATTCAAATTTTACACGGTTTGGCTTTTTTTTTTGAGGAAGTTATCGCTATTTTTGTGATTTTTCCTTAATTTATGATAACCAGTGTAAATGAAGTTGCATAATAATGTGGGCAAGTGTATATTACAGAAACCGTATAAAAGTTAATAAAAATTTTTGTGCAGTTAGCTTATAATCCATATCAGTATAGAACAAAAATTAATGGTTTCAAGACAGAAAGTAGTTAATTTAGTTTGAAAAAAGTCTGAAAGTTTTCAGATTTTGATGGTCGCTCAGAAGGGTTTGTTAAGGTTTTTTACTCTTTCGCTGCTGTTACACTCACTCTTGCTAACACATTTTGTTTTGCCTTTCTAGCGTTTGGTGGTTGGTATACATTTTCTGTTTCTTCTCCAGTTGTTTTTCTGTTCATAATTTCAGTGTTCAGTTTCCTTACAAAAATGGCTTTGCAAAGAATGTTTTTGTTTTTTTATTATTAAAGTTCCGTGTGTTTACTGTATTTATTAACTATAATGTTCTTAGAGCTGACGTCGGGAAAAAATAGATTCAATGGCAAAATTATAAAATATTTAAAAACAGCATACCCTTAAGAATTTCCAATACACAGTCTCGCGGTCTGGAGATACCAATGTTTTAATCCGTACAGGGTTGCCACTGCTCGCTTTGAAATCGTTGAGTTGTTAATCGAAAATTCGCTTAATTTTTACAGAATATGAAATAGATAATAAAGCGAATTTTAGATTCAAAATTTGGGCTTGCAGGTGCCCATGTTCTGGACTACGGACTACGTTATTCAGAATTTGATGGCGCTAGCTACCGCTGTCTTTTTACAATGCGAGAAACATGCAAACATTCATGCAGATTCTTCATTATTTAATTTCTTCAAATATAATGCAGGACTCTAACATTTGGTGGCAACAGTTTGAAAAGTGAAACGGACATTTATAGTGATTCGACACAAAATCGCAAAACGAAAACAATAGTCCTTCAGGGACAAAGCCACTTTGGACTAATAATAAATATATACCAAAAAAAAAAAAAAAAAATAAGAATACGAATTACTGTTTCTGCAATCAAATAAATTACTGCATTCATATGAAAACAATTATTCATCATCAGCCGCTACAAAACCTGCCTTATTTTTTAATTGTTCCTTAATGTCTCTTTTCTCTTTTAATTTCTTTAAGTATAATATACGGTGATAATATTTGGTGGCAACAATTTGAAAAGAGATACGCCGTTTATAATGATTCAGTACAAAAGGCCGCTTTGAGACTAACATCCCATTCGGAACTAACGCCTGTTTTGAGCTAAAAAAAAAAGAAAGGAAGATAGAGAAAATGTAGCATTTTTACGCTGAGTTTTACTAGTTTTAATTAATATTTATCAATTCTGTGAATCCTGTGATTTACTGAGTTATAACAGATAAGCATTTTTTTTTATAAATTTTTAAACTGATAGATTTGTTTTGCTTCAAAACATTTCAAAACAATTAATGAACATCTTTTAAGAATAGGCAAAAGTTATTTAAATATCGTTCGCAAACATTTAAATAATAGAGAATTAAAATACTCTGTAAACTTCTTTTTTTTTGTTTTTTTTTGGTTAAATAATATATTCTGCATGAATGATAAATTTTTATAGTTTATATCTACATTTTAGAAAAATGTTTTATTTTAAAACTGATAAATATTCATATAGTTCTGAAGAGATGGAATTTAGTTTCTATATACATTTCTGAAACTTTTTCTTTATTCTTAGCTGCTTAATGTTACCCCAGATGGTTCGCTGTTCGAAACGAACACATGGGACTGTAGTGTTCATGAAATTCCAAGTGCAGGAAACCAAGTAAAAAAGGGAAAAGTTTATTTCATTTAATACAAATATTTAATACAAATATTTTTAATGTCTATTTTAGTTAATACAAATATTTTTAATGTCTATTTTAGTTAAATACAAATATTTTTAATGTCTATTTTAGTTAAATACAAATATTTTTAATGTCTATTTTAAATACAAAATTTTTTCTATTTTTTAATACTATTTCATTTAATATTTTTAATGTCTATTTTAGTTAAATGATTTTAATATATTCATATAAATGCAACTAAAAATTTGTATCTCTAAAAGCATGTATCCTTACGTATGTACACAATGCGTCCACAAATTTTAAGACTTGGCTTACACAAAATTAGAAATTAAAAAAAGCATTATTATTTTTTTTTAGTGCTCAATATGCAAGCCGTATAATCTAACACAACGCTTCTCACGTTCATATAGCTACCGAATCCTTCGGACACTCATTTTTTAGAATATCGGTTAAATCACTGATTGTATTTTTTAAGTCTCTAGTTCATTCTTAAGTTTATTGTAAGTCTCTGGTTCATTGTTTGATGATCTTAGAAATGAGATTTCACTTTGTAGAGACATCAGGTTATTTTTGAAACGTTCATACAGCTATTGATTTCTTCGAAAACTCATCTTTTAGAATATCGTTTAAATCCCTGATTGTATTTTTTAAGTCTCTAGTTCATTGTTAAGTTTATTGTTTAAGTCTCTGGTTCATTGTTTGATGATCTCAGAAATGAGATTTCACTTTGTAGAGACATCAGGTTATTTTTGAAACGTTCATACAGCTATTGATTCCTTCGAAAACTCATCTTTTAGAATATCGTTTAAATCACTGATTGTATTTTTTAAGTCTCTAGTTCATTGTCAAGTTCACTGTTAAGTTTATTTGTTCATTGTTAAGTCTCTGGTTCATTGTTTAATGATCTTAGAAATGAGATTTCACGTTGTAGAGACATTAGGTTATTTTTGAAACAGAAAAAAATAATTTGATCTTAGAAATGAGATTTCACCTTGTAGAGACATCAGGTTATTTTTGAAACGTTCATACATCTATTGATTCCTTCGGAAATTCATCTTTTAGAATATCGTTTAAATCCCTGATTGTGTTTTTTAAATCTCTACTTCATTGTTAAGTTTATTGTTTAAGTCTCTGGTTCATTGTTGAATGATCTTAGAAATTAGATTTCACTTTGTAGAGACATTAGGTTATTTTTGAAACAGGAAAAATAACTTGATCTTGGGAATGAGATTTCACTTTTTAGAGACATCAGGTTATTTTTGAAACTTTCATTCAGCTGTTGATTCCTTCGGAAACTCATTTTTTAGAATATAGTTTAAATCCCTGATTGTATTTTTTAAGTCTCTAGTTCATTGTTAAGTTTAGTGTTTAAGTCTCTGGTTCATTGTTTAATGATCTTAGAAATGAGATTTCACTTTGTAGAGATATTAGGTTATTCTTGAAAGAGGAAGAAGTGAAAAATGAGCAACGTCTTCCCCGGGAATCGAACTACGAACCTCTGTAATACGCGCCCAACGTGCAGATCACTGCACTACGAAGACATGTTAAGAAGGCGGGAGAAATACCTTCTAACTTTGCAGAAGAGAAAGTTGGTTGCGCTTGCCAAATCTGAATAATAGCTGAAGGGGCGAGATAACAGACTTGTACTACTGTCTATTGGCCTTGAAACAGAAAGCAGTTATTTAGATCAGTTTCTGAGATATAACTCGTTGAATTCTCTTTAGAAGTCTGTCTATTATGCCTTATGAAACATGGAGTCACCGCCTATTCCCTAGGAAAAAATTCCTCCTGAATTTCCATTTTCTCATTTGTTTTGAAATAGCGAAAGGTCACCAACGTAACTGTTACTTGAACTCTAAATCTCTGAAACCAAAGTTTCTGCGGTCGTATCTGCTGCATAGGTCTTCTCCAACCTATGCAGCAAATTACCGCCGTTTTGTATCAGGATCAAAGGAGCAAAATTCTTTTCCAATCATACTTTTATTTTGATGAATGTCAGGATTAATAATTGCGTTTTTGGATTAAAATTTGACAGAAAGTCGGTCTTCTTTATATTATGTGGTCTATGCGTGAGACATCAAACGGAAACATTTTTTTTTCGAGAGTTTATTTCCCAAGACTTTTATAAGCAGTGCCTTTATCGCTGTTAAGCTCGTCTCTCATCATTCGAAGAGACATGTAACGATTTATCGACAACTAGTGTGAAACGAATTTCATATTCTCAATCGTTTGGGTAGTCATAAATGCAGTCAGTTATTGTCTGGGAAGCTTGCTTTGATTTGGTGAAGTGATTAATTCTAAAAATTTGTAGACGCATTGCATACATATACATAAATTAAAAGATTAACTTTTTGTGCATTTTGTTTACAGATTTAGTGAAAATTTATAAATTTCTGTTAACGGTTTAAAATTAAATTATAAGGCAAAGTAAAATTAATTAAATTACACTTTTGTTTAAAAAATGAAATTATGTGTCAAATTAAGACTTATTATGATTCTTACTGTGTTAAACGTAGACACAGAAAAAAGCTAAAATACTGAATTCTCTTCATTACCACATAGATTACCATTTCTTTTCATGATTGCTCTTGTCATCTCAAAAGTCCCTCTGTGTACAATCATATGTACACTGTGCTTCTCCTCTCCGCCCCCCAAAAAATGGATCAAGTCTAAATCTACCGTTCCACCGGGCAGATTAACGAAATTTAATTTGCGTTTTCAAGTCCCGAACTTAGGATATATATACTATATATAGTTTATTGCTCTTGTCATCTCAAAAGTCCCTCTGTGTACAATCATATGTACACTGAGCTTCTCCTCTTCCCCCCAAAAAATGGGTCAGTTCTAAATATCCCTTTCCACCGGGCAGATTAACGAAATTTAATTTGCTTTTTCAAGTCCCGAACTTAGGATATATATACTATATATAGTTTATTGCTCTTGTCATCTCAAAAGTCCCTCTGTGTACAATCATATGTACACTGTGCTTCTCCTCTTCCCCCCCCAAAAAAATGGGTCAGTTCTAAATCTTCCTTTCCACCGGGCAGATTAACGAAATTTAATTTGCGTTTTCAAGTCCCGAACTTAGGATATATATACTATATATAGTTTATTGCTCTTGTCATCTCAAAAGTCCCTCTGTGGGACATCCGATATTTTCCATATTTCGATTCTAAGATTTTTATTATGCCTAAATATAAAATTTTATAAATTTTGGTAAGAAATTTCTCGAGAAATTTGAAAATTTATCATGGCCCACATTTTACAGTTTGCGCCGAGAATAATTCACTTGACGAAATTCTAAATTTATGGCAATCTATTTTTCCTTTCTCTTTCGTTGTGCACGAACGGAAAAAAAAGGTGCATCATTCATTCTTTCAAATATTTTTTAATAAAAAGCTTTAACCACATTTGGCGTTATTATCGCGTATAACAAATATGCCAAACTTAGAAACTCGCCAAAATAGGAATTCAAGTGTATCTTTTTTAATTTTGAATAAAAAATTGTGATTTTTTTTGGCCTAGAAATGCATCTGCTTTATGGTGATGGCAAACCTTTTGTAGGCTATAATTGAAAAACGTTTCGAGAAATTTACAAAAATAACTAAAAAGTGCAAATTTCAAAATTAAATCATAAAAATTCACAAATTTTATTTGTATCGAATCTAAATTTAGAAGTGTGAAAGAAAGAATCGAGTAAATTTAATAAAAGAGGATATATTAATAAATATATACCAAAATTCAATTGATACTGAGGAGCTCAAAATTTGAGAGCTGATGTTTCAGGAACTTATCGTGCGACTTTTTACAGAACTTGGCACTTTGGCATAATTTGAGTTATAGAATCGAAATATTGAAGAAAATCTGTGTGTCATTTTAAGAAAAAGTCCGATTTTTCTGTCAAAGTACCTACGTCAGAACAATGCTAAATCTTAAGTCTAATCTTATATATATAATAAGTCGCGCCTTCGAGACATGAAAAATGCAAGTTAAATTCTTCAATCGGCCCAGTAGAACAAGAGATATAGAACTAAGCCCCATTTTTTGTGCAAAGCGTACATATAATGAAGCATTATAATATTTCAAATAAAATTAGAAATAAATGTTACAAGCCAATAAATATAATTTATTACAGTTATGTGTGAATTATTAATGTACCTTAAAAAATCTATATTTGGTTCTGCGTTCTATTTGTATATGTTACCGTGAAAGACCGAAATTGGAGAATGTCGACTTTCACCGGAGAATATCAACATTCACCAAATGCGTCGGTGAAAAGACCGAATATTTCACTACATTCTTGTATATTCGGACCCTCACCGGTGTATGTCGACAATCACAGATATGCTCTGGTGAAAGTCGAAAAGAGAGGTCATAAAGTGCCATAAAAGTTTAAGTTGTTGCAATAAATAAGATTTGAATCACATAATTTAGTAAGTTTTTCATGACTGTTATTTTATTTTCTCACTTAGAACGTACTGTATAATTAAGTAAGTTTTTAACTTATATTATTTTCCTTTCTCATTTTGAATGTATTGTGTGTTTTAGGTTCTCATGTTCTTAAGTTCTTATTTCGAGTCTCAAGTGCGTTTTTTCGCGAATGAATTGCGGAGAAGAAAATATAATATTGTTATATGTTCAACATTCACCATTAGTACATGGTGAATGTCGACATTGACCAGTGTAAGTCAGAAATAGGAGTATTTGGAAAATATTTCGGGCATACACCAAGCGACTATGTGAATGTTGACGTTCACCGGTGAAAGTCGACATTCTCCAGATTTCGGTGTTTCACCGTAACATATATATTATAATCTATTCTTTATTTATTCTCTTTCTATACGAGATATATTAAGCTGGTTGCTAGAAAGGAGAACTTTAAATTAAAACGTTAATTCTCAGTTAATAAAAAATTAATTACTGTTCGTAATTTACAAATTTGTATATTTAAAATTTATTTATTAATAACGGAACACAATAACATTAAATTCTTACAAATACAATGATTTATAGAAATGGAAGAAAATTTTTAGTACAAAGGGGAAATTTTCCCTATAATTTCGTTTTGGCATTTTGCGTTGGTTCATTCTAACTATCGGTTCACTTTTGCAAATTATTGCCACCAAATATTATGGCCTTCTGTTATATTTAAAGAAATTGAATAATGAAGAATCTCCGTTAAATGTATGTGTGTTTCTAGCATTGGGATAAAATAACGGTACCTAAAGCCATCCAATTTTGAATAACGTAATCCTCTACCGAACATGGTCATCTGGAAGCCCTAATTCGGAATTTGAAATTTGTTTTATTATCGATATCATATTTTTTAACACTTTAACGAGTTTTTGATTAGCAAACTCAACGATTTCAAAGCGAGCAATGGCAACATTGTACGAAAAAAAAAGACATTTTTGACTCCAGCGCGCGAGACTGTGTATCGGAAATCCTAATGCTTTGCTCATTAAAAAATTATTTTGAGATATTGCTGTTGAATTGAATTTTATGGTTTAAAGTTTAAAAAACATGATATTTAATACATAAAGGTAACACTTTCAGTTCTTTATGTTCAAAACTTTAAAGTTTAAATGTAATACTAAAATATTACTTTTATTTGGCTTTCTGCTTTCTATATAATATGTATATTTTGCCATTTGGAAATTACTTAGCTGCCTCCTTTTCTTTTCAGAACTTAGGGAGTAATCTTCATTTGCCTCCTGAGACGCAATGCATACCAAATGCAGAAATCGAAAATTCCGCCGGCTCACCATTAGGTGATAATCAAATGGAAACCTTCAAGGTCAGTTTCATTTCTTAAGCGCATCTGAATTAAATGTGTGTGAATTTCTGAAATACTTGATAGACTATAAAAATGCTAATTTAGAATTCGATAGAGATATATCGATGAAATTATAATTTTGGTATAAATCAGTAATCAGTTTTATCGCTTGACGTATCAAACTCGGAATATCTTTGCCTACAAACACGTGTTTCAACATGTTATTTATACAAATGCCAGGCATTTGACCACTAGGCCATTAATCTTGATCTTGCTTCCCAATACTTAAGAACAATAGAATTGAAAGATAATAGGTGCAGTGCATTCGTCAATAAGATCCTTATCCATGGACTGTCCACAGTTACAAAGTGTGCTTACTGAAGTGTCCTTAGGACGAATTTTAAAAAGATGCGCATGCAAGCAGTCCTGCCCAGTCCAAAGACGAAATAACGAGGAAAATCGGTAATAACTGGCTTTGAATTAGTCAGACATTCGCAGGCCATTCCCTTAGCTTCATTCGATAGGTAGGAGGCAAACTTCCTCTTAAATTCTAATTTAATTAGGAGTTGTGCAAAATTAAAAGTTGTATGGTTATTAGCGGTTTGTAGAATAGTCGTTCCTTTCTTTGCCAGAAAATCGGCTCTTTCATTTCCCTCGAACCTTGCACAATTCCCAGTGTTCAGGAATCCACTACAAGACAATTGAGTCAGCCAAAATGTTGAGAATCTTCCTACATTCGTAAATTCTTGCAGAAGTGCAAAATGTATTGTTGGAGATAGCTTGCAAGGCGGCTTCGCTATCGGACAAAATAACAGCCCCAAAGAAATTCCTCTTCCGAGAGCTTAATTTATTCAGAACAATAACTACAGATTCAACTTCACCATCAAAATTGGTAGTATCTCTTCCCACTGCCTTATAAAATGCAAAATGATTACAAGAGGTTCCTGCACCAGCTCCAGTACCTCGCTCAATCATGGATCCAGAGATTACTGGAATATCTTCTCTCAATAGTTTCATATGCAATGGCTCTAATCTGGGCAATGGGTATCTCACTCTGTTTCAATAAGTTAATGCAGCTACAAAACATTTAAGAGGTGTTGTTAGTTTTAATTGAGCTATTTTGCACATTTAATATGCATAGAAATTTTATGTAAAACAAAGTTATATGGTTTATATAAGTGCTTATTACGTAATAATAGTTCTGAAGTAAATTTTAAAACAAAAAATATCTAGGCAACATATTATTAGTATGCAAGGTTTGTGTTCGAAGACCATAAGTGGTCTTCGAGGCTTTTTTATTTGGAAATTTTATATGGCAATCATCTTTCACGTTTCCTCAAAGACTGCTATTTTATGAAACTACACACGGATTTCTCGGTTTAGTTTCAGCAATAAAAGAGGGATTTAAAGCACTCTGAATGTAGTGCTTCTAACTAGCATGCATCCAATACATCCAGTCATAGAAAAACTATGCAAGAATCAGCAGATTCATCCATCTTAAGATTGCGTGCATCAATCTTTATATAATTTTTTATTTAAAAAGCCACAGATTATTCCAACTCTAATAATCTTGAACTATTAAAATGAAACATAAATTTTTTTCTATTAACTACAACACAAAAATGTATGAATTATAATTAAATGCTTTTAAATGTATAAGTCTACTAGATGTAACATACCAGAAAAAAGGCTTTCGAGGTTGAATTCAAGCTTAATCGAGGAATAAAAAAATGATAGTTTATAGTTAGAGCTCATACGGATAGGAGCTTGGTGTTAAATTGCGAGCAACACGTAGGGCAGCTAAAGGGCTTTTGGTTTCTAGAAATGCATCGACATGCGACGGAGGACGTGGGCACCACCCCTCCACCATAGGTTAATTGGTGTAGCACCACGTCCACCTTTATCTAAAACAGCCGTGAAGCCACACAAGGGCCCCACACCTGGCGCCCAAACCCAACGCCTAATTCACCCCGGTGGCGGTCCTACTGTCTAAAACTGCCCCCGGGAGCTCACTCCATCCTACCGCCCGGGCACATTATTTATTTAATCATAGAAATAATATACAGATGGCATTACAATGGCTACTCATATGATTACATGCATTTTCTGGTTTTACATACAGATTTTTCTTTCTGGCACATTATATTGCTTTCTAGTACATTATAATTCTGTTTGTTACATTGTTATTCGATTATTACATATGATTGTCTGTAATTACTGATACATATAGTACAGTCATTGGATTTCTGTTTATTAGTTCGGTTCATTGGTAGTAGTTCATGTGTTATAAGCTTTGAGACATTCATAGTGTCGTCCATCCTCGGGTTCCTGCTAAACTTATTCGCTGCAGTTTATATTCACATCCCTTATTTTTGCTGCAGTTTTATATTCATATCCTGTTGTGAACGTTTGTTTTTGCACCTGTAATAGTGCTTGCTATCAATAGAAACTTATTTACATATTTACACCATTACATAACTCTCTTTCCACATTGAGGCAACACTTGTAATGTTGCTTGCTAGACTGAGGAGGCTTAATTACATATTTGCACTATTTATGCTGAAATCAATTTGCGACGCACTCGATTAATACTTTCGCATCAATCATATTTACATATTTACTTACGCGGAGCATATTACATATTACAAGCGATGCTTATGAAATCTATTTACATAGTTACATTCTTGAGTATTCTCTTAAATACTAGATGTATAATCTTTACTGATACCATTGGGCCTTATGATTGCATAAGATTTCTTATATTAAGGATGGCCTATATGCACATTTTCGAGTATACAGTGCACATTTTCGGGTACATATGTGATAATGCTGTGTGCCAGTAAATTGGAGTACACTTGAAAACACACTTGATTAACACGCTTGCTTAATAAACACATTTGCACTGAGCATATTTACGTTGTACTTTGAGGGGGATGCACTGTACATTGCTTGCTTGCACCACTCTACATTTCTGTTTGTATTGCTTGTTGAAGGTATGACTCATGCAAATTTATATAGTATTACTCGCGAGCTTATTATATTTATTTACATATTTACATTCTTAATACTCTCATTGATTCTGGGTCTATAATTTTTACTGCTGAAATTAAATCTTATAGTTGCATAGGGTATTTTATTTTGAGGATAACATACGGTTTATGTGACGGAGCTCAATTTGGCACAAATCCAGATTAAGTTCCGCTAATTTGTTGTCCATTAGCTGCACAATCTTTTTAATTAGGTGCCGTTGCTTAATCAGATATTTACAGAACGGTTGTCTGTTATTATCTGGTAGTCTAATGTGGAGACCCTCAGTCAGCGGGCATGTCTCCAAGTAATGCTCTGGCGAGCCCGGTTCTCCACATGCGCACTGACTTGTATTGCAGAAACCACATTTGTAGAAAATGTCAGGAAAGGGACCATGCCCTGAGATAAACCTTGCGAGCTGCGTGTTTGCTATATTTCTGTCTGTGTCCACATAACCACAGAAGTAATGGGTCCTCCTCTCTGTGTTGCTCTCGTCCCATTCACATTGCCACTTCCCCATGGCTTTCAATCTCAGCGTACGCTTAAAGTAAGAACGCGGCCATGGTATAACTGTCTCTGCTATTGCTGTTTCTGTGGTGGCCTCCTTTGCAAGCTGATCTGCCATTTCATTCCCTTCATGGCCCTCGTGTGCTTTTATCCATTCTAATGTGATCTTAAAATTTGGATTATTTCTAAGGGCCTTCTGTATCTCTTGAATAATTTCAGAGGGATGGTCGGGGTTCCATATCGCATGTAATGTTGACAAGCTGTCAGTTTTTATTGTGGCCTGCCTGCATCTTATGGAATGTACATAGTGGATTGCTTGCAATATGGCCAAGGCTTCACTTTGGAAAACGCTGTTGTTTTGTCTGAGCCGGCCCTTCCATTTTTCTATGATGAACCCTGCCTCATGGCGGCGTAGGCACAGCCCACTTTCTAGTCCAACTTTGACCCGTCCGTGTAAGCTGTCAGGCCAAGTGGCTGGTTATTATCCTTAGGCTTCACCGAGACGTATACCCCTCTTCCTTTAGCCGCTGGGTGTACATCCAACGGGTTGCAGCTTTCCTCATACTCCTCAGGGGAGTAAATTTCTTCATCAAATGTGACCATTTTTTTAGTTGTAAGACTTGCTGTCGTGCCGCCTCCTCCTCAGCACGGATGTGCAGGGGCAGTAAGCCTGCCAGCACATTAATTTCTTCGCTTGAAGTGGTGCGATAGGCCCGGGTAATACCCAATGCAAAGGGTCGTTGAATGGCATTAAGGTGTGTTTAACCTTTCTCCCTTGCATTGGATAGGCCCATACTGCCGCAGCATACGTGACTATTCTTTCTACCACTGTGGAATACAGCACCTTTTGTATGTGGGGGTTCAGTCCCCATTTAAACAAGGCATCTTCAGTTGGCTATTTTTTTGCGGGAGATTCATCAATTCTTTGTCGTCAAAAGGACGCCAAGGTCCTGTCGACCCGAAAGCGTTGCATGTATTTGATCTTCCAAATACCCAGCGAAGTGGCGCCCAATTAAAACGGTTGTAGATGATGATTCTCCGCACCCAGGATTTGGCGACTAGGTCCCCTAAAACCCTAGTCGCCCTTTAAGAGGGTAGTATATAAGGTATTTCTCCCACTTCCCTAGCGTGCCTTCGTGGTGTAACGGTAGCACGCTGAGCCGGTATTCCAGAGGTCCGTGGTTCGATTCCCGGCAAAGGCGGTTGCATATTTTTCATATTTTCTGCTTCCAATTAACCTAATGACAGCTACAAAGTTGCTAATTTAACATAGAGATATTTTTTAAATATAATATAACTTTTTATAAACAAATTGATTATTTTATTATCCCATTTATGGAATTTTAAAATCATTAGGCTTCCCTGCCATAATTTCAGTAATAAATTATGGCTTGCGCCGGTACTTCTCAATTTTAAGATAAATTACAATTCTAGCCGGAGCACATCGGAGGCCTAAATGAGATGAGCTCCGTTACATCTTTTTATAAAACTGAACCACGACTTTAAGGGAAAAAAATTTAGAATTCCTAACGTTTTGGTTTAACAATAAGCAGACTTTGCAATACTCTATTTTCCTAGAAATACGAACTCATGAGAACATGAGACGTTCAAGTCAAGTCGCCTCACTCACATGCGGAAATCTTTCCCTTTAAGAAAGGCAATAAATTTGGGGGAGTTTGTTTAGGGACTCGTAAATTTCTCGCCAGTGATATCGTATCTAGTGTTTTGTTATCGATGCTTACAGTTAGTTACCATCGGAAGAAGGAAAATTTGTGTTCTGAAATGTGCGTTAAGTGACAGCGAGTACAATAAGAGTGTTTACTGAGATAAACTGCTCAATCATGTCCTATACATCGTCTTCCCACAGTATCCGCTAATGGGGGGGGAAGAGTAACCAGCAATTTTAAATTCGTCCTTAGGAGTCAGATTCAGGACTCACTTTACCGCTGATACACATCTGCTTGTTGGCTGTAATTATATCAGCAGAGAGGCGCGGTCAAAGAGAACGTTCTCTCTCACCAAGATTCCCCTCATTTTTTGTTTCCACCCATTCATACCTTATTCTGTTTCTCCCTGGAATTTTCAACAGCTATACTTTAAGTATATTTAATTTTTGTGATGATAAAAGAACTACCCTCCCCCTACGATCAAAGCTTATATTGGGCCGGAGCCCACGGGATATCGGCTCCGGTGCTTCTTAGTTTTAGTAATAAATCATAATTCTAGCCGGAACGCACCGGAATAAGAAGGCTGCGGAACTTCTTTTATGTAACTGAATAACAATTTCAGTAGAAATTTTATCTCGAAAATTTTATTTTAACAATAAAATTATATTAAATTTCAATTTTATCTCTTTACATTTTATTTAATTTTAACTATTTAATTACATCAATCTTTAATTATTTCAATAAATAATAATTAATTATCTAATAATTATCAAAAATAATTAATTAATTATCTAATAATTATCAAAAATAATTAATTAATTATATAATAATTAGTGATTAAATAACAATTTATAAATATTAATTAAAATAACTTTTAATTAATTTGATAATAATTAACTATTTAATTTTTAAATTACTAATGAGTTGAATAGTCATTTTATTTATTTATTTACTCCTGTTCCTCTTTGCTGTCGGTCTTCCATAGGGCTCCTGTCATTTCTAATCTTAGAAATTAAGCCCTGTATTTAAACTAAATTTAATATTAAAGGAGTTATTTTCCAAGAGTAGCTTCTTAAAAGTAATTATATCTCTCTGAAGGTAATATGAAAGCTTTTCGAAATAAATAATCTAATGATATATATTTCACAAATAAATATGGAATTAGTCTTAATGTTTATATGGTATTTACCATCAAATCGGCTCATTTTGAGGGATTTTGGAAGAATATTTTCTCTTCTGCCCAAATTAAATAGGGATATTTGCATACAGTAATAAAATGATACCTCAGAAACGGTGTCCGTCGATAAAATCGCGGCAAAAACATTGCGGACGAAAACGTCGCGGAGAAAACAACGCAAGGCGAAAACGTCGTGCTACAAAACATCGTGAGAGAAAACATCGCAGTTTTAAAACATCGTGGTATAAAACATCGTCGTCGAAAATAAAGCGGTTAAAAAACTTCGCAGTTTAAAAACATCGTCGCCGAAAATATCGTGATAAAAAATAAAGTATCTATAAATCATCGCATAATGATAACATCGCAGACATGCTTTTTTTTCAGGTTTTAATAATTATAAATGGATATTCCCATAATGATTTGTGAGCAAAGGTGTAAAGAAGGATAATTTTTACTTTCACATTTTTTATTAACTAATAAATTTTTGCTGAAAAAGTAAGAAGGAACTTAAGCATAGAAAATTAATGCAACTTATAGATTATATTTTTCATGAAAAATTACCAGTAAAAACTTAATAAAAATGATTTATTAATGGCCTTTGTTAATTAACTATGTCGGTTTAAAATTCTATTAAGTGCTATAAGTTGCATTAATTTCTATGTTTAAGTTTCCTTTTATTTTCTCATCAAAAATGTATTAATTAATAAAAAATATGAAAGTAAAATTATCCTTCTTTCCATCTTGCGCTCACTAATCATTATGGGAATATCCACTTATAATTATTTAAACCTAAAAAAAGCATGTCTGCGATGTTATCGTCATGCGATGATTTATAGATACTTTATTTTTTATCACGATATTTTCGGTGACGATGTTTTTAAACTGCGAAGTTTTTGAACCGCTTTATTTTCGACGACGATGTTTTTTACAAAGATGTTTTAGAACTGCGATGTTTTCTCTTTGCGATGTTTTCTCCCACGATGTTTTGTAGCACGATGTTCTCGCCTTGCGTTGTTTTCTCCGCGACGTTTTCTTCCGCGATGTTTTCGTCTGTAACCCTCAGAAACAGAAGAAGTTAGCGTTTTTATTTATCAGATATTCTTAAGAATTCTTTATTCAGGTACTAAAGTTTCAACTACTCCTTTGTTTTTCAGCTACTCCTTAAGTTGAAATCTAGAACTAGAATAATTTTCTTTATCCAGCTTACTTATTATTGCAATTATTTATAAGTTGAATAATGACTAAAGGTTCCCTGTCTTCTCTCCTCAGGATTTATTTAGTAACCTTTCTATGCCTACTGCAATTAGACCATCAGAAACTCAGCCCTTATCAGATCTAGAAAGGGAAAACTCTGCTTTGTCTCCTCTTGCTGATTTTGGAATGGAATTATTTGGAGTGAGTTTCGTTTCTTATTATTTAACCGTATTAAGAAATATGTAGCAGTTTCTATGTATGCCAGAAATGATACAGATGTCAATTTCAAAGCAGGAATACAATGAAGAAATATCTATTTACAGTTTTTATCGATTGCCAGATCAAGCGTAGAAACGTTGTCTTCAAACGCGTGCTGCGAAGATAATGTATCACATTAAGCATTCATAGCATTTCTGCGCAGAGTTACTTGGCTTGTAAATACTAACACAATCACAGTTCTTTAGAACGGTGTCCGCCGATAACATCGCGGCAAAAACATCGCGGACGAAAACGTCGCGGAGAAAACAACGCAAGGCGAAAACATCGTGCTACAAAACATCGTGGGAGAAACCATCGCAAAGAGAAAGCATCGCAGTCCTAAAACATCGTGGTACAAAACATCGTCGTCGAAAATAAAGCGGTTCAAAATCTTCGCAGTTTAAAAACATCGTCGTCGAAAATATCGTGGTAAAAAATAAAGTGTCTACAAATCATCGCATGACGATAACATAGCAGACATGCTTTTTCCATACATGCTTTAATAACTGTAAATAATATTCCCATAAAGATTTGTGAGCGCAAAATGTAAAGAAGGATAATTTTTACTTTCACATTTTTTATTAACTAATAATTTTTTCTGAAAAAGTAAGAAGGAAACTTAAGCATAGAAAATTAAATGCAACTTATAGATTATACTTTTTCACGAAAAATTACCAGTAAAAACTTTATAAAAATTATTTATTAATGGCCTTTGTTAGTAAACTATGTCGGTTTTAAAATTATATTAATTGCTATAAGTTGCATTAATTTGCTATGCTTAAGTTTCCTTCTTACTTTTTCAGAAAAATTTATTAGTTAAAAAAAAATGTGAAAGTAAAAATTATTCTTCTTTCCATTTTGCGCTCACAAATCATTATGGGAATATCCATTTACAGTTATTAACGCATGTTTGGAAAAAGCATGTATGAAAAAAGCATGTCTGCGATGTTATCGTCAAGCGATGATTTGTAGATACTTTATTTTTTACCACGATATTTTCGACGACGATGTTTTTAAATTGCGAAGTTTTTGAACCGCTTTATTTTCGACGACGATGTTTTGTACCACGATGTTTTAGAACTGCGATGTTTTCTCTTTGCGATGTTTTCTCCCACGATGTTTTGTAGCACGACGTTTTCGCTTTGCGTTGTTTTCTCCGCGACGTTATCGTCCGCGATGTTTTTGCCGCGATGTTTTCGGCTGTAACCCTTTAGAACATATCAAAAATTGAAAAATTACTTAAAAAACATAAAAGGCTTTTGCAAGAGCAAGCTAATGTAAGTGTTAAGTTTGTTTTACAACAAGCTTTCTCCGTTTAATCAAACCAGGAGCTCTCTTACGAATTGTTTCGCTCCTGCGAATTGCTCTCTTACGAATTGTTTCTCCTACGAATTGCTTACGAATTGTACTGCTTTCTTACGAATTGTTTCGTAAGCCAAAATGATGAACAGCAAAGATGTTACCAGTAATTCATATTGATATGTATTTTAATCTTTTTCATATTTAAAAGAAACCTATCAAATCATGCTAAATATTTTATAAAATCTAAAATCTAAATAAAAGAATGAATCCTATGCTTCTGTACATAACCTTGCACATACACGCACACACAAAAAAAAAAAAAAATTCAAAAATAAAGGGACTGTTCTATATCTCCCGTTCCACTGGGCCGATTGTCGAAGTTTAACTTGCGTTTTCTATTGTTTGAAAAAGCACGACTTATGATATACATTAGATTTATATATATCATTATTCTAACTTAGGTATTTTGACACAAAATGGGACTTTTTCTGAAATAGCATCCCTATTTTGTTCCATATTTCGATTCTACGCTCAAACTATGCCTAGATATTAAATTTTGTAATTTTTGGTGAGAAATTTAGAAATTTATCTTGACGGAATTTTTTCAGTTTGCGCCAAGAATATGTACTTTGTGGACATCTTAATTTATAGCAACCTATTTTCCTATCCCTTTTTACTTCCTTGTACGAAGTAAAAAGGAAGTATTGTAATCGCGAAAAGTTTCAGGTATCATATTTCAACGAAAATATTCATTTTGACCGCTATCGAATGCAATTTAATAATGTTTTTGCGTAACATCTGTACGTAAGGACAGAATGAAAGCCTCGTTTCCTCCAAAAAAATTATAAAACTGCTTTAAAATGAATTCTGAAGAGAATGTTTTTGGGTGTCTGTATGTACGTATGTATGTATCTCGCATAACTCAAAAACGAGTAGCCTCAGAACGTTGAAATTTTGTATATAGGAGGACTGCTATAACATGCAGATGTGCACCTTGTATTGTGGTTGCAATCGGAGGCACCAAATACTATTACATGAAGTATCAAATCTGAGAATTTAAAATGCATGTAATCAATGCCTAGATTCTCTCCTGCTAGAACTCCTTACTTTGTAGTAATAAACTATGATTCTCTTGAGAGTATATTTATTTTGCTTTTATATAATAATTTGAAACATATTTTTAAAAAACAGTTTAAACTCTCTCTAACATGAATAAATAGTTTTCTGTTTTAAGTTTTTGTAATAGGAGTATTAAGGTTTATGAAAATGAGTAAAATTATCCAAAGACCCCTTATCAAAGCAAACAATCCTAGTGCTTCAGGTTAATCTTATATCTCACTGGAGGTGTTAAAGCAACTAAAATCAGGGTGATGTTAATAAATTTGCAGAACTCGTTTCGAAGGTTTAAATATAGAACCTTCTTCTTCAGCAGCAGAAGCGCAAAAGAAATGCAGAAGTTCAAAAGAAATGCTGCAGAAGAACCAAAGCTTCATCTACAGTATGAGGTATCTCTCCCACCTTCTTAGCGTGCCTTCGTGGTGTACTGGTTAAAACGCTCGACGCGTATTCTAGAGATCTGTGGTTCGAGACCCGACGAGGGCATTGCTCATGTTTATCTCTCCTGTTTCGAAATAACCTGATGTCTCTACAACAGTAGTGCAAGAGAAGCACTGCAGAAGAATCAAAGCTTCATCTACAGTACTGCACAAGTTCGTTTCGCACGTCTTTAGCTCAAGAAGCAGGCTCTCTTATTTAAACCTTCGAAACTATTTCTGTGAATTTATGAATACTACGTTGAATCTTGTTGCTTTAACTCCTCCAATAATCATTATTCGGCGTGTTACTTAAATAATATTATCCCTATTAACATTTAATTTATTCGTGCTACTTTTGTAGACGGTTGCACGGATTTTTGGCAATTTACGTTGGCGCAATTGTTGGAGCGGTTTTTACAATCGTCAGCCATCTTGAAAAAAGCTGTTTTTACGTATTTCACGCATAATAAAGTATTCGAAACTTTAAAAAAATAAATATCTTTAAAAATAATGGATTAATTTTTTGTTGAAAACGTTATTTTTTAAGATGGCTCGCAAATGTAAATAAATACATTTACTAAGAGAATAAAATGCTAAAGTAACGTTAAATTATTACTTTCATATAATAGAATAAAAACATCGCTATAAAAACATTGAGACAACATTTAATTGGAATAAAATATTACGTAAATTGAATATCGAAATTAAAACATCATACTAACGTTTAAAAGAATTAATATTTTTTAATTACATAAATTTAAATCCTTTTAAAATAAGTTGTATAGGATATAATTATTTAACATTAAAACATATGTTTGCAATAAATATCTCAGGAATTTTTTGAAAACAGTGTATTAATTTTTTAATAAAAATTCAAGTATACAATTATAAAGTAAAAGAAAATATATACTTGAATTTTTAAGTATTTTACCTGTCGTATATTGATAAGTACCAAAAAAAAACAAAAAAAAAAAAAAAAAAAAAACGATCTTCATCTGTGATCCACATCTCTCGCACTTCATTGAAGAAGCAATTAGCGAGGTTTTTTCCAAAAATTTAAAATAAATTTGCTCTGACGCTATTAACAATTTATAAGTAAATATTTGATTAGGAAAGCCAGGTTCTCCAAAATAAGGTTTCAAAGGGCAATTTTTTTTATTCCGATACCAATAATTCTTGGTAATTACCAATAACAACATTCATCTTCGAAACGGACATATCCATTCCATTTGAAATCTGAGGAATTCGAAGAGATGAATAATAAAATTTTAAAATGGCGCGGTAATGCACAAATATTCAGTAACCAATCAGGGAGCTGATTACATCACGCATAAAATTAAAATTATTCAAATAAATCATTCATAATAAAACCATTTTTCAAAACAAAAAAATGCAAAATTAAATTGTGTTTTAATATTTAACAGCCATACATAATGTTTAAAACATTAGATTAAATTTATAGATAATAAAACCAATTACTTTTAAAATAATGTTACGTCATTCATTACTTCATTCACAGTATAAAATTCCATAAAATATCATAAACAATAAAATTTTTATTTAAAATAAAAATCCAAAATTAAATTCATTTTTATTACTTAGGAGTCATAAATAATATTTAAAACACGGAATTTATGAATAATAAAACGCATTATTTTTTTAAATAAAACGACAACAAAGTATCGGTTACCATAAATAACTTGTCCAGCAATGGTTTACCATAAGTCGTAGTGCTCGCCAAAAAAATTGCCAAAAATCGCCAAAATCCGTGCAACCGTCTACCAAAGTAGCACCAATTTATTTACTTATTGTGTGAAAAATCGTTGTTCTTGTGCTACAAAAATTGTTCGCAAAGTAAAAAGGAGGTACACATTTTTCCTTTGGGAACATTAATGAAATCTTCACTTAATACCTTGTCTCCCAATCTCCCAAAGAAACCTTTCTCCTGTGGAAATGAATAAGAAAAAAAGTCTCTGCTGCTCGATTTAGTTTGAATTGAATTTATTTTTCCCTTTTAATTTTAATGCATGCACATTTAATAATAAATATTGTAATTTATAAGATCTAGCCTGCTTAGGTAGTATACAATTAGACTAAAACAAGCCACCTTGTGAGATTTCAGTATAAATATCACAACACAGGGGAAAAAAGTAAAAGGCTCTTTATTAATACAAATAAAGTTTAACAAATGGCACCAATTTGTGCTTAGAGAAGCCAATAACTTTGGATTTTAAATCAAAAATAATGGATGAAATACAATTAATGAAATTTAAGTATAGCCTATATATAATGCTTCACAGTATAACTAGCGCGCAAGATGGCTGTGGCCGAAGCCGGCGTAAAAAACCCTAATGACAAGAGCAACTCAACGCCGCAGAATACTGATCACTAAAGAATCAAAGTTAGCAACGTGGTCTTCAAGCAAGCAGAACACGCTCTGATTTACAAAAGGTTTTTTAAAATACTTCCTGCCTTCTGCCTAATTTGAATATCGTTTGCGCTGGAAATTTACATTCTGGCAGGGATATAGAAATTAGGGTGGTGATAGGGTAGCACATTTACGTAAAATAACTCGATAGAAACTTAAATGATATTCCATAAATTATAATATAGTTTGTTACTTTTTAAAAGGATATTGACATAATGATTTTAAAAATGTAATTACGGGGAAGAATTTAATTTGTAAAAAAATGAACTTGCTCTGCATATTATTTTTATTACTTTTGCTTCCATTAATGCGTTTCACCCGTAGGTATGTTAATTAGCGAAATAATGTTTTTAAAATCCTTGCACTGAAATTACTTTTCATATGCTTCATATATTCATAATAATTATGCACAGAATATTACATACATATATTATGTATACATATACATATATATATAATATACATACAGAAATATACTTCTTAACACTAGGTTTTATTTTATTTCAGGAGATACATTTGCCAGATTCACCAAAGTGCGAAGATTTTAGTAAGTTCATACCTTTTGCTTTTATGATATTGTATATATTTTCTGTTTTTCATATGCTGCTTTAAAACAAGTTAAAATGAAAAATGTTTGGAATTAAAACCGGTCAAATAGTGAAATTTTTAATTTGGTTTCTCTATCAAAATTCGAGAAAAGACATTTTGCATTTAAAATAATTTCAGCCGAAGCATATATTTACGTTCTCTGAATATCAACAAAAATCATGAATCGATTTGGAAACAAACTTAAGCTAACTATTTAGTTTAACACTTATTCTAATAACATCGGTGTTGCCAGATCACGCGATGTTTCGAAAATATCCTACTTTTGACCTCTGTTACTAAAATTTATGTATATGTGTTTTTGCTAATTTTTTTACAACACCCTCATTTTTTATGCTACCTTAAAAATTTTAATTGAAAAAAATTAATGTATCATAAAATGCACATATTCTGATATAATTAGTCCAAAGGGGCTTTGTCCCTGAAGGATTACTGTTTTCGTTTTGCGATTTTGCGTTGAATCACTACAAATGTCCGTTTCACTTTTCAAACTCAAACTCAATGTTAGAGTCCTGCATTATATTTGAAGAAATTAAATAATGAAAAATCTGCATAAATGTATGTCTATTTCTCGCATTGTGATAAAACAACGGTACATAGAGCCATCGAATTTTGAATGACGTAATCCTGTTACGAATATGGTCATGTGCAAGACCAAATTTGAAATTTGTTTATGATCGATTTCATATTTTGTAAAACTTTAACGAATTTTTGAGTAACAAACTCAACGATTTAAAAGCGAGCAATGGCAACACTCTGCGGCGGGGGGGGGGACATTTTATCTCCAGCGGGTGCGGAATTGTGTATCGGATATTCTAAAGATAGGCTCATTTAAAAATTATTTTGCGACATTGCTACTGAACTGAATTTTACGGTTTAAGTGCAAAGAACATGATATTTAATAAATAAAGTTTAACACAAAACGTTAAAAAAACTCCCCTTTGGACGCAATTTAAATCTGAAAACTTTCAGATTTTTTCAGTAATTTTTGTAGTTAGTTATTAAAATAATTTATAATAAAATGTAATAAGTTATTTAGATTTAAATAAAAGTAAATAACTGGCACTCCTTCAATCGTAACTCACTAGCGCATGCGCAGTTTGTTTCCAGCACTAGTTGTGTACGCATTTCCTGTGTTTTCATTGATTGCTTTGTTTCAAATTTTGGTGCTGTAAGAGTAACATTCCAAAGTCAGATTGCGATGCTGCCCTAATTAAAGCATGAATTATGAGTAACATGAAAAACATTTAGCTCTTTTTTTCAAAATAATTGGCTTGAAATACACATATTTGAGACCAGATTACAAAGAATAAAGGTATATAAGGCAAAAGCTGTAATGAAAGAACATACGTAAGGTAAGAAGTGTAAATATAAAAAAATTAAAATAACCTAAAAAGGATTAGTTCAGTAATGGTAACGATCGTAGCGCCAGAAAGCACCTAACAATCAAAATGAACAATGTAATTGAAAAATAATAACTTAAATTAACTAAGAACTATTCAAAAAAAATGGAAATTTAAACATGGAAAGTTATCATAATAGTTTTAAGATGATGTCAAAATTATACAAAACGAGGAAACATCGAATTACAGTCCGCAACATTCGGGACCCACGGAGACTGCGGCAGTGTCGGAGATCACGTGGGCTCAGGAATGTATGATGTCACAAGTTTCTTTTTGCAACATTTCTGTTATTCTCTTGCTGTTTTACCCCCAAACATTTCTGCAATAATGTCTAACATATTAATTTAGACTTCTAAAAATTCTATCAGGAATTTAAGATGCAAAATAAATATTCCACGCGGTAACTAGAATATGATAAAAGTTAATCTCTAAAGTGTATCATTATTACAACTCAGTTCATAATTACTACTTCCATTCTTTAGTACCTTAGAGCCCACCAGCTGCCGAGCGGTAAAAGTCGTTGAACACTGGTAGTTCGGTACGAGGTTCGAATCCCGCGAACGGGCTGGCTGCATGGGTGTTTTCGTAGTTTTCCCCATGTATAACGTGTATACGAGCCAGTTTCCCTTAGAAAGTCCTCCACGAAAGCATTCCTCCCCTTAGGCAGATAGCCCTCGAGGCTTTGCCGTTATTAAATAACCTAACCTAACATATCTTTAATAACTTATTATTTTATTTGGTAGGGTGAAATTTCTAAAGCTATTTGAGTGAAGCGGTGGGAAATATAACTTAAATGAGAGCTGGTTAAGAGAAATAAAACGTCCATGATTTCCTAATTTGCATGATTATTTAAGGCAGCTTTTTGCCTTAAATAATCCTTATCAGAATGATCCTCTTGTTAGAAATAAACTAAATAATAAATTTTACGGAAGTGTACACTTTAACCAATTACCAGTTACCAGTTTCATTTTCATGCCATACTGTGACCAAAAATAAGCATATTTTGTAATCAAATTGATTACATGAATTCAAATCCGCAGACAAAACTGTTTTCAGAATTACATTTACTAATTTAAGATAATTTTTACTTACGGCGGAAACAAAGCATTTTTACTTAAAGTTGGCTTTTTCCTGATGAAAGTGCAAACCTGGAAAAAGCACTTTACAGGAGATATATGTTAGGGAAAACAAGTACACTGCGCAGAGGAAAAAAAAAAAAAAAAAAAAAAAAGGTGGGGGGGGGGGAGGAGGCAGTTCTATATCTCCCCTTATACTGGGCGGATTGACGAGATTCAACTTGCATTTATCATGTCTAGAAAGCCCGACTTAGGATATGTATTAGTTTTATATATAGCATTGTTCTAATGTAGGTATTTTGACACAAAATCGGATTTTTTCTGAAATTACATTCCATTTTTTTCCATATTTTAATTCTACAATTCAAATTATGCCAAACTGTCAAGCTCTGTAACAATCGTACGAGTAGTTTTTAAAATATTAGCTCTGAAAATTTTAGCTCCTCCATGTTAGTTGAGATTGGTATATATTTATTAATACCTCTTTTTTATTGAACTTATATCATTTTCTCTTTCACATTTCGAAATTTAGGTTCATTCCAAATAAAATTCGCTCATTTTTACGATTTATTTTTAAAATTTGTGTTTTTAAATGATTTTTATAAATATTTCGAAAAACAATTTGAATTATAATGTATAAAATTTTTACCATAATCTTATTTCCGAAGATATACGTTTATTTATATATTGGCGCGTTTTGAAATTTGGCGTATTTGTTGAAAGCGATAATTACATTAAATGTGGTTTACGCACTTTTGTGGTAAATTTTTTTCAAAGTACGAACGATGTGACTTTTTTCTGGTTCATGTACATTGTAAAAAAATAGGCCTCGATATGAATATTTTTCCTTTCCTTCACAATGGAAGGAAAAGGAAATTGGGTTGCCATATATTAAGAAGTTCGCCAAGTGAATTATTCTTGGCACAAACTGAAAAAAATCGCCAAGATAAAGTTTTGGATTTCTCAGTAAATTTCGCACCAAATTTTACAAAATTTAATACTTAGGAACAATTTGAGTCGTACAATCGAAATGTGGAAAACAATTTGTATGTTATTTCTGAAAAGTCAGATTTTGTGTCAAAATACCCATGCTAAAACAATGCTATGTATAGGTCTAATATATATCCTAAGTCACCATTTCGAGATTTTTCGAGGGGCTTTCGAACAATTGTATACGGAATTGACAAGCGATAAGGGTGTGGGGAGAGAAAGGCTTGAGGAAGTAAATAATCCTGCAAAGAGGGGACTTTGTATTCAATGCAGCTGTGCACAAGAATGCTCTTCTAGAATTCCGAGAAAGGGGGATATTATTTGCAGTAAGAATATACTTCCGACATAAATGAATGCTTAGAATTAGGAGTTAAATGTTTCCTCTTTCTGCAGTCATTTGAAGTGAACATCGAATATAGAGAAGGAACAAGGAAAGTAAAGGAAGCCGAGCGAGCCATGCCAGTATAGCCAGTCTAGAAATAGTGTCTGAGTGGATATTAAAAGCATGGAAGGAAATTAAACCTGATATAAATCAAAAGTCATTCAAAATGTAGTCTATCTAACAACCTAGTTGGAATGGAAGATGGTTATTTATGTATGGATGAGAATAACATTGATGATAAAGATGAAACAGAATTCGATGATGTGCCTGAAGTTATAATGGAAGACGAATAATACAAAACTTTTCATGTTATAAGATAAGGAATTTTTTTAAGTTCCTAAGGAATGCCATTTCTTTTAAACAAACTCGTGTCGGAAATATAACTATTGTATGCTCATCTTCTCCTTATTTTTAAATCTATCAAATTTATATCATATAACGCATACCCGTAAATTTATATTTTGTATTAAAACTGTACGTTATACGCAGGAGTATACGGTACTTACGTATTATCGCAATCGCCTTAGCAGAAATCACTAGAGTCTTAGAATGTTCCAAATTCTGGCAACCACGTGCATAACATTTCCTCAGTTTCATCAACTAATGTCGCCATTTTGAAAGTTTTTGTTTTTGCGTTTCAGCAGTTTCTATAGAAAACGTTTGCTTATTTTAAGTCTTAAACTCGATTTTTAAATTTGTGCTTGTGGGATTAGGCTATAATATGTGGGAAAAGAAAAAATGAAGTTTCTATAGGAAAGCAGTACTTTGCAAGAAAATCGCTAAAAGAACAACACTTCGAGTCTCTTCTCGCGATTCAAGCGATCAGCAGGGAATTTCGACTAAAACAAAAGAAAAAAAGAACCTTCTTATAAATAAGTAGTTTGATTATTTTTTTCTCTTGTGAATTAAGTCCTAGTTTAAACGTAAAATATGTATGCATATAATAAATAATTTTTATAACCATAAGTGATTATTCTTTCTTTTTTCTCGTAAAATTCGCCGAACTTGACGCAGATTGTTGCGAAAATTCGTAAGCAAGCATCTTAAGAGATGTAAAATAAGCGATTTTAATTTTAGTAATTCGTTTTGGAGGTACTTTTCCGTTTCACTCGTTAATCACTTGAAATAGTAATTACTTTAATGTCAATGAAAAATAATTTTTTTAACAATGTACAATCTTTCTTGACTTTTTTATTTAAAAAAATGTATGCAATCAAACTTTAATATAATATTTAAAGAAATGTGTTTTTCAGAAGATTTACTTGAAATCATGGAGCGGGAAAATTGTGATGGTACATAAAAGTTAACTCATAACACATGAAGATTCGAAAAGTTGCCAAGTAAAAGATTCATTTTATAAAAAGCAAGATGTGCGCATGAAAGATTAGCCTGCTAGAAGACCATGTACTCTGAAGTTCAAACTAATGAAAAATACCTCAGCAAAAAAAGAGATTTAGAATTTAAAATTTTGCGTTATATGAAAATGTTAGTAAAACATTGATGTGTGCATTTTCTTGCCAAATTTTGTTTCAAGTTTGTAGGGTCATATTGAAGAAGTCATATGTCTTGATTTTTATAAGATTCGATAAATTTACTGAAATTGTCACTTTCCTGTTATACACAAAGTAACTTTTAAAATGTGAATAATTTTATATAATTAAATTAAATAATCACAGAAAAGCTTACATTTCATATAAACAGATTTTGTACTGATTTTTCTCAGAAATTGGTGCCCACCAGCGGCCGAGCGGTAAAGTCGCTGAACACTGGTAGTTCGGTTCGAATCCCACGAACGGGCTGGCTGCATGTGCGTTTTCGTAGTTTTCCCCATGTATAACGTGTATACGAGCCAGTTTCCCTTAGAAAGTCCTCCACGAAGGCATCCTTTCCCTTAGGCAGATAGCCCTCGAGGCTTTGCCATAATCACACACACCAAATGCGTTTCTTAGAAATTGGTAATTTGCTGATTATGTTATGTAACAATGTGTCATTAATTTTAAGTTTTTATTACGTTTTATGACTTGCTCATGTATCTTAGAATAGTTTAATTTTGTTCAGTTTTTACTGTATAACCTTATAATTAAAATTGCAAATGCGAGTGATCAACTTATAACAGAACATTGTAAATTATAACAGAGGTTTGTAAACTATAATTGTAAATTATAACAAAGCATTGTAAATTATAATTGTAAATTATAACAGAACATTGTAAATTATAACACAGCATTGTAAATTATAATTTTAAATTATAACAGAGCATTTTAAATTATAACAGAGCATTGTAAATTATGACAGAGCATTGTAAATTATAATTGTAAATTATAATAGAGTATTGGAAATTATGACTATAATGTTTTAAAGTTACTATGTTAAATTTGATTGATTTTATTTTATGCATATGCTTTGTAATTTCAAACGGTTTTCTTGTACGTTGTTTACCTAATTAAATGAAATATTTGAATGAACTTGTTTCATACAGAGTTTATTTATTTTAAATCAAAATTTAAATGTCATATAAATATTTTGCGATTACAATACTTCCTTTACTTCGTACAACGAAGTAAAAATGAGAAAAATGTTGCAATTTCAAAATGTAATGCAAGTGACATAATTTGTTCACAATAAAAATTTCTGTAAAAAGAAAATTTTAGGAGTCTTTTCTTCTTTAATTCATATTTCTGTAATTAATTTCCATTTACTTATGAAGCCGCGTTCAAAACATTTGTACATTCAGATTCTAGAAAATGCTAGAAATAGTTTTTATTATCTATTCAGATTACATGAACACGGGCAATGTTTTAAATATATAAATTTGCTAGAGTGATAAATGTACTGTTACAAATTGAAGATTCCAGTACTATCACAAAATAAAGACTAAAACAAGATTTTACATTGAATGGAATTGCAATGATTATAGGAAAGATAAGAAATCAAAGAGATTAAAAAGCTAGAAACAATTAAAATTAATTAAGGTAGAGACTTTTAAAAATGTAAAATGCAAAATATACGAAACCTGTTAGGTAATGTAAATGTGACAGTTTAAATCCTAAAATTGTAGTTAATGTCTAGTATTTCTTGTAATATTTGAAACACGAGGAAAAAATGTAAAATAATAGGTTTTGCTAATGCTACAGCCTATGTTCTTTATATACTGGTACATTTCAGTGAATATATGTGCTGTGAATGTTTTTAACTAAATAACAATTATTTTAGGATTTAGAGCTTTAGACTTTGATGATGATGCAAGTTTTAGCCATAAATATTTGTTACTCAGATTACACACTATATAGTATATTAAAACCTATACATACTATACTATGCATTCCTTCTTTTATTACGAATTTTTGAACTTTGCACGAATTTATGACGCACCCGATATTTACAGACGTGGGTATAAACAAGGTATATTTAATCTATAATAAGGCTTGTTTGAGCGCTTCACTTTTTACTTGGAAAACTGAATTATGTGTATTCAACTTAAACATTTAGTAAAAAACAACATAGTAAAAAACAACAAAGAACAACAAACAACATAGTAAAAAACAAACATAGTAAAAAACAACATAGTAAACAACAAACAACAACAAACAACATAGTAAAAAACAACAAAGGTAGCTCTGCTATTTTCTCACATTTTGTTATAGGGTGGCGCAGGAAAACAGAAAATTTCGAAATACAGTAAGACCCCGCTTAACGCGAGGGATACGTTCCATCAAAGTAGAGCGTAATGCGAAACAGCGCTAAACGACGCTATCTTTACATGTAAATATTGGGGTTAGAGGAAGATGGCTAGGAAATTGGTTAGGTATTAAATTTAAAAAGTATGTTTTTTTAATAAAAATAAAAGCAAACATTTATTTATTAAAGCCCAAATTAATACCACATTATTATTTCTTGCAAAAATAAAACAAAATATAAATAACAAAACGAATATTCTTAAAAAAAACAAATAAAATTCTCAGTCAGTCATATTTAGTTAGCCTTCCGCGTTTTCAGTGTTCTGCCTTTTTGTGACAAAAGCATCTAATGTTGTTTGCCTTTTCTTTTGCGTTGTTCTCTCTTAAAAGTTCTTCATAAACGGATAGAGCATCTCTAACACCACGCCTTACTTTTGACTCCTGTCAAAATTCGGATCATTTTCAATGAATTGGATCCATTATTTCAGTTATGGTAGACAAACTCCTTTTTACAAACGCCATCGAAAGTTCTTTTTGCTCTTCTTCTGAATCACTGCTGTCAACATTTTTGTTTTCTTCTTGGTTCAGTTAATTCCTTGAGCTCATCATTAGAAAGACTAGCCGCTGCTTCTTGAATTATTTCTTTGACATCTTCCACATTTACCCCTTCAAAATATGTCTGTACAATACCGCACCAAACAAGAAATACAAGTACACTCTTTCGGATATGTATTTGAAACCTATCGCTGCATAATATTTCGGGGAATCCCCGTATGCTGCGAGCGATTTCGTGGAATCCCCGGGTTGAAATAATAGAGCGCTAAACCGAAACAGCGCTAAACGAAACAGCGTTAAGCGGGGTCTTACTGTAACGTCATTTTCCCGAATAAATTCATAAAAATAGTAATTTACTAACGAAAGTACATGTATTCAGCATGCCATTTATGTTTTTACAATCAAAATGTCCAAAAGTGTCTCTTTACTTTTTAAAGATGACATCGGAAAGATGTGCTCCCATTCGGCGTTCACGCTCTAACAGCCTGTTATGAAAACTCTGGAATGTGCGGTGTAGCAAATCTTTGGGAATGGCAGTGATTTCTTTTTCAATGTTCTCCTTCAGTTCATGGATTGCTGCAGGACGTGTACGGTACACTTTGCCTTTAAGATATCTTCACAGTAAGAAGTCGCACCACTAAGATGTCACCGTTACGTAACATCTTATGCATGCTGTCCGTTCGACAGCATGCATCTTCGCTAGGGATTACCGCCAGCTGTTTGGAAGACGCATTATTTCACGTAACGGTGACATTGAATGGCCTGGGTAACATCTTAGTGGTGATGATCCACTAAGATGTCACCGTTACGTAACATCTTAGTGGATCATCACCACTAAGATGTTACCCAGGCCATTCAATGTCACCGTTACGTGAAATAATGCGTCTTCCAAACAGCTGGCGGTAATCCCTAGCGAAGATGCATGCTGTCGAACGGAGCGGCGAGGACTTCTCTCGATTGCAGCTCTAAACAGCTGCAATGTTCTCTGGGGTACGTACCGGTGGAATGCCACCTGGTGGTTTCGTTTTCAAGGCAGATCCTGTTTCTTCAAATTAAGCACCCACATTGCAATCGCATGCGCAGATGAGACACGTTCATGACGTCCAAGCTGGTAATACTGTTAACATCTCTGCGCGGCAGTCGCGCTATCACCATTTTTATAAAACGCTCCCACAGCTACTGCACGTTCCGCACCAATCCAATGATCCATGATTACTAAATGGCATCGCGCTCAGAACAATTGTGCAAAGTTTCGAACAACTGCCGGCTCTACAGTGCTGCCAACTGTAACGTTCAAAATTTCCCGTTTCCCTGCGCCATCCTGTATTTGTTATTTGGATCTCTCATTTTGCTATTTGTTTTTGAGGGATATATGTTAAAGGTAATATTTTTGTGCTGCTATTGCGGTCTGACCTTTATGAACATAAATCCACATTATCCCCATACCTTCGTATTAATCACTTTCGATACATTTCAGAGTGCATGGACCAAAATGAGCTATTGACTCGATATATGTCACGTGATCTCACATATAACAGTAATTTTGTGTAACAAAAAATACAGATAGTTAAAACCTTTTTTTTATATTTCACACGTATGTAAGTGTGGGTCTTTTGCTGTTTTAGTTCTTGCTGCAGAATTTGTAATTTTTTTCCCTCTAAATGGCAGATTGTAAACAATTACAAATGTAACCCAGTCCATTAATCTACACAAGGCCGGATGCGGTGGTCTCTCAATTATGGAGGCATATAATAGGTAGGCCACCATCGCCTTTCATATGAAGGCAGATGGACAGTTACATGCATGCCTTCTCCGGGATTCGAACCCAGGCCCTACGGCATCGCAGTCGGCTTCCCTGACCACTGTACCGACTGGGCTGCTGCAGAATTTTTAAATAGGATAAACCATTTTGGTATATGCCGAATTTCATAGCAGAATATTTATAATCTGCCTTTCTGTTTGAGACAAACATATATTTTAACAAAATAAAGATTAAAGAGAAGCAAGCTAGTCTTAAAATTCATAATAGGAAAAATTCAACTTCGGATATGTGCTGGTTTTATAGACAAGCTTCTACATTTCGTGGGTAGAAGAAGCGGGTTATTTTTTTGGAATGAAAAAAATGTATTTGATTGGATCACCTTAAATGAAATGCAAAATACTCTTATATTGTTTACCTAGTGACGAAAATCTGGAGATTAAAAATAGTTTATGTACTTGAGATATTAGCGTTATCTTTTGGTCGCACTCTAAAATTAATTTAACCATTACATCGTCTCTCAAAACTCATATTTGCTATCTCTTTCCCCCTCCAAAGCTAAACATTTTGCCCCACGTACCTGGATTTTAATGAACTTGAAACAGTTACTTGCAATGCTTGTGATTTTTCTATGAACTCAGCAAAACATAATTTATGTTATTTATTATAATTAGAACGGAACACTTCTAGATTAGAAACATTCAATGATGAATAGTTAATGCGTAGAAACACCGTTTAATATGTAAACAAAACCAAACCAGAAG